AGCCCGTCAGCCCATCGGCCCCGTCAGCCCGTCAGAGCCTCGTCAGCCCCTCAGCCCTGTCAGCCCGTCAGCCCAGCCGTAAAAGCCTCCTCAGCCCGTCGGCCCCGTCAGCGCCGCCAGTCAATCAGCCCGGTCGGCCTCGCACAGGAGGCGGCGGCGCCTGCCGAGGAGCCGGGTGGGTCCCCGGAGCCCTCCGAGCCAACTGCGACCCAACGGCCCTGGGTGCCCTGAGGCCGCGGGTCGCCCGCTGTGGGATCGCTCAGGCCCGAGCGCCGCCGGCCTGGGCAGCTGAGCGGACAGGGCGCTCGCTGCGGGGTGGCGCATGCGCATGGGGCCTGCGGGGGCTGCGTGCGTGCACGTGTGCGTGCGCGTGCCTGTCTACGTGCGTGCGTACATGCATGTACAAGCAGGCGGTGTCTGCGTGAGTGCATGTGTGTGCGCATGCCTGGTTGCGTGTGTGCTTGAGTGCCGTGCGCATCTGCGTTCGTGCGCGTGCGTGCGGTGCATGCATGTGCGTGTGCGTTTGCGTGCATGCGCGTGCATACGATGTCTGCGTGTGTGCATGCATGCATACGTGCATACAGGTGCTTGAATGCGGTGTCTGCATGCGTGCATGCATGTATGTGTGTGTGCGTGCATATCTGTGTGTGCGTGCGTGTGCCTGCATGTGGCGCACGTGTGTTCCTCTCTCGAGCTGCGGTGGTCCCTCAGGCCCACGTCCCTGAGAGCTGGCTGTGGGTCCGGGAGCTGGGGGCAGAGCCCTCTGCTCCCGCGGGCACCGTCCCCTCCGCGGGGCGTGGCCATGGTGACACCGCTGGCCCAGGGCTTGCTTGTGGGGGCCACAGAGGAGGTGTTGTCTGTGTCACGGGGTGTGACAGACCAGGTCAGGGGAGTGGTGTGTGGGGAGAGGGCCGGTTGCCCCAAGCTGGTGGAGGTGGGCACCCCTGCAGGCGGTGACCCTGACACCGCTCGGCTCGTTTCTCAACAGACACTGCATGGTGGACGGCCAGCGGGTGGCCTTGCAGAGACCCAAACCCCCCACAGTGTTGACACATGCGACAAGACTGCAGCCCTGCAGATCCTGGGGCCGCCACCTGCGTGCAGAGGGGACACTGTCCAGGGCCCGCCCAGCGCCCGGACAGAGCCAAAGAGGCCAGCAGTGACTGCATGTGCAGTCAGTGGCGCTGTCTCTCCTGACCCAGCGGATGAGCGTGACCTCAGGACCGCCACCACAACCCGGGGGTCAGTGCATTTGGGGACCCGGCCAAGGCCCCAAGCACTGCGAGGAATTTTCAGCCGTAGGAAGTTGAGGGACCTTCTTTCAGGCCACTGCCTTTCCCACGAGCGTTTTCTCAGGGCTGGTCCGAAGACCTTGAGGCGTTCCCGTGGCAGAACCTGCTCTGATTGCCCGTTTAAGACTGAGTCCTGGAGGTTCAACAGGTGTGAACTTCTCGGCCCAAACGTAGGCTGAGGCTCTTGGAGCTGGAGCCAAGTCCGAGGCGGCTCAGTTCCCAGATCCTGGGGTAGGGCGGTGCCCTGCGAGAGGCTGGCTGTGTCCTGCAGGTGCCCTCCTGGTGACTCTGAAGGCCAAGTTTCTCCTAAATACTGGAATAAAAATGTGGATGATAAACTGACCAAAGGCCTCCAGGCAGGAGAGTAAACACGCACAGAACGGTCAAGTCCCCCGGCTGGGCCCGTTCTCTGAGCGATGGGCACGCAGTTGCTGGCAGACAAGGTTCTGGTTCTTAAACCTGAATTCAGAGTTTCAGAGGTGACGTCTTCTCTCGCAGGACCAGGACAGCTGTCCTGAACGTGGTGAATGGAGGCTTGGTTCAGGCTGAGGTCTGGGAGGCAAGGCTGGGCCTCCTGTGGCAATGTCCTGTCCTGACTTTCACCCGCGACCCTCGGGCCCCGGGTTCCCAGCGGTGCTGTCTAGGGTCTGTGTGTCCAGTAAACTCTGGGTGAAGCTACACATACGTTCACGGAGACCTAGTCCGTGACTGATTGCAGCAGCACTGGCAGAACTTGAAGTAAACGGCAACGCAGGGAAGTGTCTCAGGCTGGGGGAGCTCACGGAGGGCTGAGGCCTGGCCCGGTGACGGGTTAGACACCCCCTCACCCCACGCTCTCCACATGGGACATTTCATTTTTTCCCTTCTTTTTTTTTGGGGGGGGGGTCACACCCGGCAATGCTCATGGTTACTCCTGGTTCTGCACTCAAGAATCACTCCTTGTTGGGGCTGGAGAGATAGCACAGTGGGTAGGGTGTCTGCCTTGCACGCGGCCAATCCAGGTTCGATTCCCAGCATCCCATATGGTCCCCTGAGCACTGCCAGGAATAACTCCTGGGTGCAGAGCCAGGAGTAACCCATGTGCATCGCCAGGTGTGACCCAAAAAGAAAGCAAAAAAAAAAAATCACTCCTGGTGGTGCTCGGGGGACCCTATGGGATGCTGGGGATCAAACCGGGCTCGGCCACATGCAAGACAAACGCCCTCCCTGCTGGACTATCGCTCTGGCCTGTTTTTTCCCATTGTTAATTGAACATTCTTACCAAAACTGAAAGGCAGGTTATTTTTTTGTGGCCACACCTGGTGGTACTCAGGGCCTACTCCTGGCTCTGTGCTCAGGAATCACTCCCGGAGGTGCTCAGGGACCCATATGGGGTGCCGGGGATGGAGCCCAGGTTGGTCAGGTGTAAGGCAAACGTCCTCCCCGCTGGACTATCTCTCTGGATGATTCTTTTGTTCTTAATTTCCCCCTAAGCTCTTTAGGTTTTGGGTTTTGGGCCACACCTGCCTCTGTGCTCGGGGACCACCTATGTCAGGATTTGAATCTGAGCCCTGGCTATATAGTCACATCCTCTGTTGCCCCTTCACCTGTTCGTTTTGGCTTTGAGGTCACATCTGATGATGCTCAGGGGTCACTCCTGCTGGGCTCCGGGGACCCTCTGTGGTGCCAGGGATCGAATCCGGGTGTGCCGCCATCACCTTTTCCGTGTACTATCCCTTGGTCCTCCGCACCGTGGCCTCTGGACTGTGTCTCTGGCCCCTGAAGCTCTTCCTATGACCTGGTGCTTCCCAGGGCCCCCAGGAAGTGACCTTTGTTCCTTCTCATCCTGAGCAAATGACTCAGTTCCTAGTCACTAGGATGTGGAGGTTATCTGGGGGTTGGGAAGTGGATTTCCTCTTTTTGATGGGGGGTGGGCTGGACCAGACCCCTGGCAGTGCTCAGGAGTGACACCTAGTGGGACCTGGGGGTCCACATACAGTGTCAGGAATAGAACCCAGGTCCGCCCCCTGCAAGGCAATTACCTTCATCCCGGGCTACTTTCTGGCTGTGAAGTTGAGTTGGTGGAGGAATGTCTGCACATTTCCAGAGCACCCCAAACAGTTTCCAAGTCACCTGAAAGCGGGAGCATTGCCTTGGGGTCATGGGGAGACCGTGTGGCGAGTGAGACACCTTTTTCTGGTGTCAGATCCAGCGGCTTGGGGCGTGCTCCCGGGGACAGGCTGGACACACTCATGCTGAGTCTCAGGATGGCAGAACTGAAACATACTGACCACATTTCGTAGTTTGAACGTTTCAAGTGAGGGCCCTAGCGGAGAGGGGTTAAGGTGCCTGCCTTGGTTGCCAAGGCCAACCCTGGCTCATTCCCACCAGCACATATGGTCCCCCAAGCCCCACAGGAGTGACCTCAGCACAGAGCCAGGGGTCAGCCCTGAGCCGGCCCAGTGCTCCCCACCCCCAACAAAACAGAGCTTTTTTTTTTTTTTTTTTTTTTTGCTTTTTGGGTCACACCCGGGATGCACAGGGGTTCCTCCTGGCTCTGCACTCAGGAATTACCCCTGGCGGTGCTCCGGGGTACCATATGGGATGCTGGGAATCGAACCCGGGTTGTCCGCGTGCAAGGCAAACACCCTCCCCGCTGTGCTATCTCTCCAGCCCCAGCATATATTTTTAAAATTTATTGTTTAAAGCTTGGCGGTTTTTATTTATTTTTGCTTTTTGGGTCACACCCAGTGATGCTCAGGGGTTGCTCCCTCCTGGCTCTGCACTTAGGAATTACCCCTGGGTGTGCTCAGGGGACCCTATGGGATGCTGGGAATCGAACCCGGGTTGGCCGCGAGCAAGGCAAACGCCCTCCCCGCTGTGCTGTCGCTCCAGCCCCAAAACAGAGCACTTAAAGAGAGAAACCAAAGGCTCTCTGGAGCCCAGGGCCACCCTGGGTCCCCCCTGACCGCAGCCTGTCTCTCTCAACCCCATGCGGTCAGTGCAGCGGCCAGCGGGCTGGCACCTGGTGGGGGGTGGGGCTGAGGGCCCACCCGGGACATACAGCACAGGCCCGCGTGGAGGGGACCGTGCCCAGCCCCCCTTGGCAAAACAGTCGAGAACGGGGCTGCGGGGGCAAGCCCGGGGGAGGCCGGGGTGGGGGGCTTCCCTAGGGCAGTGCTGGCTGCGCCCAGGGTCCCCCGGCCAGCGTGCAGCAGGGACCCCCCTGCAAGCGCCCGCAGTCTGGGTTGTGACCGGAAGGGCCAGCGCCGCGACCCCCCGCTCGCCGGCCACCGAGAAAGGCCCCGAGTCCCTCGGGCCTGGCCCCGGCTCCCCACCCCCGGGCCCGGGGCCCCCTCCCCCGCGGTGCACGACGCCGGGCCCCGTCGTGGTCAGGGGTCTGCAGGACCCCGCGTGGCCGTCGCCCCCGGCCCGCGCCGCCCCTCCTGCCCCCGCGGCCCCGCGCGCGCAGCGTCCCCCGTGCAGGCGCCGGGAGCACGCGCTCCCCCGGGGGCCGGCGCGGCCGCGTGCCGTACGGCAGCATGGCGGCGCGCGGAGGCGCGGCCCGTACGGCGGCATGGCGGCCCCCGGCGGGCGCGGCCATGGCGGCGGCACGCCCGCGCGGCCGGGGAGGAAGCGGCGCGCGCCCGGTCCCTCCTCCTCCCGCCGGGCCGCGATGGTGGCCGCGGGGTGAAGGGGCGCGGCGGCGGGGGCAGCGGGGCGCGGGCCGGCCGGGCCGATGGACCTCAACCGCATCGTGCAGGCGCTCCGGGGCACCATCGACCCCAAGCTGCGCCTGGCGGCCGAGAGCGAGCTCAACCAGGTGGGCGGCCGCCCCCCCCGCCCCTCCCCTCCCCTCCCCTGCGGGCCTGAGCCCCCCTCCCCCCCCCCCCCCCCCCCCGCGGCCCGGCCGCCCCGACCCTCCCCCTGCCTGCAGGGCCTGGCTCTCCCCGCCCCTCCCCTGCGGGGCCCGGCCCTCCGCGACCCTCCCCGACCCTCCCCTGCGGCGGCTAGGCCTCCGGGCCGGGCCTGGCCCTCCTGACCCTCCTTGCCCCTCCCCTGCGGGGGCCCCCTGGCCCTCGGACCCTCCCCAGCAGGCCCTGCCCCCCTCCCCGACTCTCGCCTGCGCGGCCCGGCCCTCCTTGCCCCTCCCCTGCAGGCCGCCCCTCCCCGCCCCTCCCCTGCAGTGCCCTCCCTGACTCTCCCCACCCCGCTCCTGCAGGCCCTGGCTCTCCCAGACCCTCCCCCTGCAGGCCCAGCCTCCCCATCCTCTCCCTGCGGGCCCCGCCCCTCCCCCCGCAGGCCCGGACCCTCCTTGCCCCCCTCCTGCTGCCACGGGACCCCCTCCCGCCCCAGCCCCTGCTGACCAGGACCCACTCCCTGCCCTGCCACCTGCAGCTCAGGCCCTGCCGCCCCTCCCCCTGCAGCCCTGGAGCTCAGGCTCTTCCCCTGCCCTCCCTTCCCCTGCTGTCCCTGCCCCTCCCCAACGGTCTCTGGCCCTCCCTGCCCTTCCCCTGCAGTTCCCCCTCCCGACCCCCCCCCCCCACCTGCCTTCCCTCCTCATGGTCCTGGATCCCCATACCTGGGTCCGCTGCCCCGCACCTCGGAGTCCCCGCTTTGGGGACAGGGCTGGGGGAGTGACCCTGTCAGTCCCGCCTGCCCGCCACGCCCCACCCCCCACACACGCAGTTGAGGTTGAGGGGTCCCCAGCTCCAGGGGTGGCCTGCCCTGGGGCCCTCGCAGGCCCTGGAGGGGAGCGGGCGACGCCCTCTCTGGTGGGCTGGACACCTGGTGAGGGACGGGTTCTGGGGGCCTCGGGGAGCTGCTCCCTGCCTGGGGCTGTAGCGGGACCCCCTGCCCTGGGCTGTGCCCCCTTCAGGAGCAGGCTCAGCGCCCCTCACCGCCACTTGCCGCCACCTTTTTTCTGTCTGTTTCGGGCCAGACCCGGTGGTGCTCAGGGCTCACTCCTGGTGCTCAGGGGACCCTGTGGGGTGCCGGGGTCGAAGGTCAGGCCCACCCACCCTGCGGGACACTGTAGGTTGGGGGCACATGCAGCCCCCAGCTCTGCCTCTTCCGGAAAGCGCGTCTGGATGACTGTGGCCTGGTGAGCCTCTCCTCAGGCCAGCTCTGGGGACAGGCTTGCTCTAGCCCGCCCAGAGCAGGTCTTTGGGGTCCTGACCACTCTCCCTCAAGTGCTGAAGGGGCAGAGTCTTCCCCGCATTGCCCTCTCTGGGCCTCTGCGGTTCCGTTTTCCCTTTGTGAGCACTTTCCCGTGAGCATCATTGGTGCCGGGCCACGTGCAGGTGCCGGTTCCAGACTCATGGTTGCACACTGTGGGGCAGGACTCAGAGGGTCCCATGGGGGCATGGCGGGTCTGTGGGCATTCCGGGAGGACGGCCCGAGGGTCTCCGTGCCAGGAGTCGTCACCCGGTCTCCTTGGCAGCTTGTGGCCCCACATGGGCACGGTGAGTCAGAGGCAGCCCGGTGAGAGGACGCGGGGTTGGAAGGTGGCGGGTTGGGCCAGAGAGCGGGCGGCTGTGCACGTGTGACGAAGCGTGTGCCCAGGGCCGTGTGGGACAGGTGTCCCCGCCGTCCTGGCTGGCACTGCCTGGGCACGGCGAATCTAAGCCCCAGCCACCTCGAGTCTCCCATGGGGCATCCCAGGCGGGCCGCAGTCTCTGCTTTAGTTTTTGATTTTTTTTTTTTGCCTTTTGGGTCCCACCCCTCTCGGAGAACCCGGGAAGCTACCGGGAGTATATCTCCCGCACGGCAAAGCCTGGCAAGCGGGGCTGGAGTGACAGCACAGCGGGGAGGGCGTCTGCCTTGCACGTGGCCGACCCTGGTTCGATCCCCAGCATCCCATAGGGTCCCCTGAGCACTGAGCGCCACCAGAAGTAATTCCTGAGTGCATGAGCCAGGAGTAACCCCTGTGACCCAAAAAAGCAAAAAAAAAAAAAAGCCTGGCAAGCTCCCCGTGGTGTATTCGATCTGCCAAACACAGTGACGACAAGTCTCACCATGGAGACGTTACTGGGCCCGCTTGAGCAAATTGAAGAACAACAGGAGGACAGTGCTACAGCGGTTGCTTTTTGGTCACGCCCGGCAATACACAGAGGTTCCTCCTGGCTCATGCACTCGGGAATCACTCCTGGCGGTGCTCGGGGGGCCCTCTGGGATGCCGGGGATGGAACCCGGGTCGGCCACGTGCAAGGCAAACCCGCGTGCAAAGCCCTCCCCGCTGTGCTGTCGCTCGGGCCCACGCTGGCGTCTCTGCTGGTCACCGCGTCCCCCCAGGCCCGTGAGCATGTGCACGAGCGTGGCCGGTGGGGACGCAGGTGGTGTCTCGTCTCCGCCGTGTCAGGCTCTCTGAGTCCCCACAGCTCCAAGCGCGGCTCGTTCCGGGCCCACGAGACGCTGTGGTGTGGCTGCAGCTGCGTTGTTTCTGGCTCCAAACCTTTCTGGTGCTTGTTGGTCACCCCCAGGGCTTGGGGCGGTCCCTGCGTCTCTGGGGGCGGGGATTGGGGTGCCCAGGCCTCTCACGCATCACACAGCACAGGGGGCCCCGAGGATCTGTCACAGCAGAGGGAGAGCTTGAGGCTTGGGCGTGAGCACTGGGCGCGGAGATCAGGCAGGGGTGGGAGGGTGGGCAGCGGGCAGGGGTGAGGTGGTTGTCACCGGGTGCAGGCAGCGGGCAGGGGTGAGGGGGTGGGCACTGGCACGGGCACCCAGGGGCGAGAAGTGCAGCCCCCACGCCTCAGACGTCTGCTCTGCCCGCGGCCCTGTGCCGGGTTTTGGCCACAGCTAGTGGTCTTCGGACCAGCCATGGGTGTTGGTGTGTGAGGCCCCTCCTGCCCTGTGCGCTGTCTCCTCGCTGTGGACCCCCCTCCTGTGGCGGCTGTCACCCTGGTGCGGGCTCTAGAGGGCTTGGGGCCTGTCTTCAGGCCCCGTGTCGCCCGTAGTGACGCCAAGGCCATTGGGGTCTGGTCTGGCACCCCCGGGAGACAGGTGAGGGGGCTGCGGCCTGTCCCGGCCCGGAGTTCCTGCCGCGCTCCTGGGACTCAGAGTCAGCAGGGGTCTCGCTTGCAGAGGACAGGCCTGAGGGTTTGTGGGGCGGAGGGTCAGCGCCCGGGAAGCGGCCAGTGGGGCCCGACTCTGCGGTGGGAGGCGGCTCTGGGGACCCGCGGTTGGTCGGCGGCAGGGCGCGCCCGCCAGGCAGGTCTCTCCGAGTCCCCTTTTAAAATCTGAGTTGTTCCAGCAGTTGTCATCTTGCCTCACGGAGTTTGACTTTCAAGGGGTCTTTAGTTTTTGACGTGGCCCGTTGGACACTCGGTGGCAGGTGGCAGGGGTTGGTCACCCGGCCGGCCTTGTTCCCTCCGACGTTCTCTTGTCTTTTCAGTCCTACAAGATCATCAACTTCGCTCCCAGTCTCCTCCGCATCATCGTCTCTGATCATGTGGAGTTCCCGGTGCGCCAGGCTGGTGAGTGGCCCGAGCCCGCGAGTGGACGTGGGTCTCCTCAGCCTGCGAGTGGATGTGGTAACTCTGGCTCCCGGTCACCCCTGGGCTGTGCCCGTCTCCCCGCCGGCTCTCTCCGGGTGCTGCCGGGCTCTGGGCTGCGGGGATGGAGCCCAGGTGGGCCGGGTGCCGGGGACGGGCCCCCCTCTGCCGCGTGCCCACAGCCCCAGGCTGATCTGCACTGAAGGGAAATTGGGTTCTGAGAGGGGGTTTCCGTTTTCTGTCAATTGTCTGCTTTGGTTCTGCCTTTTCTTGGGTTTGTGGGTCGAGTTACTCACTTTCCTGAGAGTGGGGAGGGAGAGGACGTGGGCCTCAGGTCAGTCAGTCACCCGGTCCTTGGAGCGGGCTCGATCTACCCCAGCACCTGGGACACGGCGTTAGAGAACAAGCGCCTCGGGGGTCCTTGGCCCTCACCAGGGTTAGTCATGTGAGGAGGACGGGGGCTTCCCTGTGGTGATGACACTTGGCCCCATCTGGGACCACCGCCCCGAGCACTGCTGGGGAACCCGCGTTCTCTGAGTCAGGGCTTGGTCCAGAGTGCTCTGTCGCCCCAAGGGAGAGCGTATGCCAGGAGCCGGCCATCTCCGTGGGAAGCACGGGCTCTGCCACGGGGCAGTGTGGCCACTCATTCTCCAGAACATTCTCTGCTCGTGGCCGCTCGTTCTCCAGAACATTCTCTGCTCGTGGCCACTTGTTCTCCAGAACATTCTCTGCTCGTGGCCGCTCGTTCTCCGGAACATTCTCTGCTCGTGGCCACTTGTTCTCCAGAACATTCTCTGCTCGTGGCCGCTCGTTCTCCGGAACATTCTCTGCTCGTGGCCGCTCATTCTCCAGAACATTCTCTGCTTGTGGTCGCTTGTTCTCAGGAACATTCTCTGTTTGTGGCCACTTGTTCTCCGGAACAGTCTTTGCCCCTGGGGTCGGGAGCCCTGAGCCGGTGAGCGAGCTGTGCTCTGCCACCAAGGGCGCGTTCCTCCGGAGACTAAAGGCTGTGGGGTGTGGTAGTTGGTTTTCCTGCCAGGGTCCCCTTCCTGTCCCCTTCCTGTCCCGTGGCCCTGGGAGGTTCCCGCGTTGCCCTGCTGGGGAGCTTGAGGAACTCGAACAGTCTGGGACCCACAGAGCTGGGTGCCACGGGGTGGGTGCCATGGGGGTGGGTGTCGTTGTACAAGCGAAGCAGGGGTCGTCCTCCGTCCTCCTGCTCCTCAGCCGCCATCTACCTGAAGAACATGGTGACGCAGTACTGGCCGGACCGCGAGCCGCCGCCCGGGGAGGTGCTGTTCCCCTTCAACATCCACGAGAACGACCGCCAGCAGATCCGCGACAACATCGTGGAGGGCATCATCCGCTCTCCCGACCTGGTGAGGTACGGCCCGCGGGGGGCTGGGCGCCTGGGCCCGCCCTGCTCTCCTGTCTGTGGGAGCCGAGCTGGCCGCCGCCTGACCCAGCACCCAGCAAGATGGGCAGGTGCCAGGCCAGGGCGGGGTGGTGGTATGCGCGGATCCCGCCCCCACCTGCTTTGCTCCGATGACCGATGCGAAGTACGGCACCGGGCACCCCGGGCCGCGCGTTGTCTGAACCTCTGCAAAAGGCTTTAGTTTCGTCCTCTGTGGAGCTGCTCTCTCGGACCCGCAGTGGCCACGTGGGGCACAGACCTCGGGTGGCCCTGCTGGGGCTCAGTCCGGCTCGGGGCTCGGGGGCCCTGCGGAGACCTGCCGGCCACTGACTGAGCTGCCTCTGGCCCCCGCATCCACGGGTGGTGTCAGGGGCTCAGAAGTCCAACTAGGGCACTCCATCTGGGCTCTCCCGTCCGCCCCGTAGAGTCCAGCTGACCATGTGTCTCCGCGCCATCATCAAGCACGACTTCCCCGGCCACTGGCCGGCGGTGGTGGACAAGATCGACCACTACCTGCAGGCGCAGAGCAGTGGGAGCTGGATGGGTAGCCTGCTGTGCCTCTACCAGCTGGTGAAGACATACGAGTGAGTCCCGCCCGGGGACGGGCCCGGTGTGGGGGTCCTGCCTGGTGGTCCCGTCCCGGGGACCTGGGGCCCAGCGTGGGGGTTCCTATCTGGGGGTCCTGCTCCAGGGACCCAGGGCCCGGCATGGGGGTCCAGTCTGGGGGTCCTGCTCTGGGGACCCAGGGCCCGGCATGGGTCCTGTTTGGGGGTCCCACCCTGGAGACCCGGGGCCTGGTGTGGGGGTCAGTCTGGGGGTCCTGCTCTGGGGACCCGGGGCCCGCCCTGGTGGGATGCATGTTTTGTGGAGTTGTGCGCACAGATAGTTCTGGGTTCCCTGAGCTTCTTCCCGGCGCAACGGTCGCACTGGCCCGCAGGTACAAGAAGGCGGAGGAGCGGGAGCCGCTGCTGGCCGCCATGCAGGTCTTCCTGCCCCGCATCCAGCGCCAGGTCCTGCAGCTGCTGCCCGACCCCTCCCACCACTCTGTGCTGCTGCAGAAGCAGATCCTGAAGATCTTCTACGCGCTGGTGCAGGTAAGCCAAGCGCCCGCGTCCCTGCCGGGCCACGGAGGTGCCCGGAGTCGGCTCCCGTGCAGACGCGTGCTGTGCTGCCCGCCCTGGTCTGAGGAGCCCCCGAGGGCCGGCGCCCAGCAGAGCCCGCAGTCCCGAGTAGCCCCAGGCTGGCCAGATTCTTACAAGCCGGCTCGGAAGTACCCGCGTCGCCCTTGGGACCATGTCGACTCTGGGTGCCCTCGAACCCGAGCAGAGCCGCCTCCCTCGCGCCCCTCACTCCCTGGCCTCGCCCTCGGAGGCAGAGATGGGAGATGGCCCCTTGCCGATCGGGGCGACGCAGGGCAGTTTGGGGTGCTTGGCGTAGGGGTACTGTCCAGGGTGGGTGCCACGGTAGAACAGGGCCGGGAATGTTGGACAGGAAGGACCATGTGTTGGACGTGTCCATGGAACAGTCCCGGGGGCCTCAGTGCCCGTGCCGTGCCGGGCTGGTCAGGGACCTGGTGAAACACGTCTTGACCCCCCCCCCTGCCCCGTGCTCCGGCCGCTGAAGCTGGGAGGTGGGTCACGGCAACAGGAGCTGCCGTAATTGCCGTGTCGTCAGCCAGACGCTCATGGTCGCTCCAGTCGGCCGCCAGCAGTCCCAGGCACTCCAGGGTTCTGCGCCGTCAGCACAGCTGGGCGGACGTGGGTCGAGTGTGAAGAGCCTGCTCGGCCTCCTGTGGTGCGGGCAGGGCGGGGTGGGGGTGTCTGTGTGCTGCGGGGCTGACGGCCGGCTCCGTTCCCAGTACGCCCTGCCGCTGCAGCTGGTCAGCAACCAGACCATGACCGCGTGGATGGAGATCTTCCGCACCATCATCGACAGGACGGTTCCTCCTGTGAGGCTGGGCGCTGCCCGAGGGCTGATGTGCTGGGGGGCGGAGCCGTCGGGGGGAGGGGGCTGCTGAGGTGCCGGGGCCCCGCTCGCCTGCTGTCTCCCACCCACGGGACAGCCGACCCACTGGAGCCCTGAGCTCTGTGGTCTGCCAGCTTGTGACACCTCGGTCCTGAGTTTCTCCCGGGAACGCGCTGTCTGGGGTTTTCACCTTCCCTCTTGGCAGCCTTTGGGGCTGGGGGCGCGCACGGGGCCGGGGCTCGCGGGGTCCGCTCCGCTCTGGCGGCCGAGCCGGGGGTCAGCGTCTCTGTCCCTCCAGGAGACGCTGCAGCTGGACGAGGACGACCGGCCCGAGCTGGTCTGGTGGAAGTGTAAGAAGTGGGCCCTGCACATCGTGGCCCGCCTGTTCGAACGGTAACTGCATGGGCCTCGAGGGCACGGGCGTTTCCCCCTCATAAAGGACCCGGGGACAGTGCGGCTCTGGGAATGGGAGGCCCTGTGGAGGCTGGGAAAAGTGTTTGACCCCAGGAGTTCCTGCTCAGGGTCCAAAGGCGTTTGAGCTGTTCCTGGCTAGTCTCGGCCCTGGGTGGGTCTCGGTGTTCTGGGCTCTGCCACTGCTCCTGGGGCTGTGCTCGGCTGTTGCTCCTGGCATTGTGCTCGGCCGCTACTCCTGGCACTGTGCTCGGCCGTTGCTCCCTGCACTGTGCTCGGGTGCTGCTCCTGACGCTGTGCTCAGCTGGCCATGTGGGGAGTGGGCAGTGCGGGGCGAGAGCCGGTGGCCCTGGAGTCGCCCGGGCCCCTGAGGGCGCTGGAACCGCTCCAGCCTTTGGAGCTCCTTGCCCCTGTTTTGACTTTTCTTTGGCTTTCTGTATTTTGCCTTCGGGCCAGGGCGATGGTGCAGGGTTCGGGCTCTTGCCTTGCACGTGGCAGATCAGACCCGTCCTGGGCACCTCGCGGGGAGCCCTGAGTCCCACCGGACGTGGCCAAAGCCCCCCAAAATAATCGTTCCCTGTATTTTATAACTTTATTTATTCTTTATGTTTTGCTTTAAAGGGTATTTTAATTTTCTGTATGTAGGGCGTTTGCCTTGCACGCAGCCAACATGGCCGACCCGAGTTCGATTCCTCCACCCCTCTCGGAGAGCCCGGCAAGCTACCGAGAGTATTCGATATGCCAGACACAGTAACAACAAAGTCTCCAATGGAGACGTTACTGGGCCCGCTCGAGCAAATCGATGAATGACGGGCGGGCCTTTACTTTACTTTACTTTTTTAATGTAGGAGTTCTGCTATTTATTCAGCCACTGAATGCTGATCAGCTGATCGACTTGGGCATGCATGAACTCCACTGTATTTTCCTTCTTATGTTTGATTTTGTTCATTTCCTATTTTTTTTGTCTTGATATTTTCTCACAATATTGTATTTCATTGTTTTTTTCAACGTTCATATTTCAGTTTTGTTTCCTACATTAGTTTAACTTTTATATTTACTGCCTCAACCTTTCTGTATTTTGATGTTCCATGTTTCATTTTTCTACATTTGAAACAGTTTCCTATAATTTTTCAAACTTAAAATTTCACCAGTAATCTACAACTGTAAAAAAAAATAAAATAAAATAAAGGGAAAAAAAAATTTCACCAGTTGGTTTGGCGTCACGACCAGCAGTGCCCAGAGACTCTCCCCACGTGTTGGGGTGGGGGAGGGACGTGGGGGTGTGGGCTGGGTGGGGGAGGAGTGTGTGGGCGGGGCTGTGGAAATCAGAACCGAGCCTGCAGCCCCTGCATGCGGAGTGGGCCCTCCAGCTGCCTCCCTGGCCACTGTTCCACTTTTATTTCTGTGTTTTATTTTCAGTTAAGTGTTGTGCATCAACTTCGTTTCTGTAGTTTCTGCTTTCCTGTTTAGTTCCCACTTGACTGTAATTATTTTTCTAAATTTTATTCTTTTATTTTTCTGGCCACGCCTCTCATTGCTCAGGCTTACTCCTGGCTCTGACTCAGGAGTGACTCCTGGCGGTCTCGGGGGACCCTCTGGGGGGCAGGGGGTAGAACCTGGGTCGGCCGCGTGCCAGGCCAGAGCCCTCCCCACTGTGCTGTCTCCCTGTTGGAGTTCCAGTGCTTAGGTGTTGATGAGTGGCCGCAGGGTGGAGGTCACTCTCGAGCCGGGCGGCCCTCGCCTGCCCTTCTTCATGGCCGTCGGGCACTGTCTCGAGTGTTGGGCCACAGGAGTGCCGTGGGCTTGGCCAGTGGCCTGGGCTGGGGCTGGGCACAGCCCAGAGTTGGGCATCGCTGGCCTCACTTGGGGCTGTGGGAAGGGACGTCTCCTGCCCTTCTCCCCCGTCTCTCCCCATTAACCCCCAACCCCCACTCCGGCCCGACACTTTGTTTTTAAAATTTACAGTGTTTTCCCCTTGTGTTTTAAGATATGGAAGCCCAGGAAATGTCACAAAAGAATACTTCGAGTTTTCTGAGTTCTTCTTGAAAACGTACGCAGTCGGGATTCAGCAGGTAATACCCGTGATGCTTGTAAACTCGGTGGCTGCTGCCAAATGTCGCCGTCAATTCTGTCCTTAGCCGTGGCCTCGGGGTCCCTCCCAGTGTTTCTCTGGGCCCCGCAGTCGTGTTGAAAGCGCTTTTTATTTTACCGTGTTTTTGGTTTGGACCATACCTGGCCGTGTCAGGGCTGTTTCTGGCTCTGTGCCCAGGGATCACTCCGGGTGGTGCTCGGGGGCCAGCTGGAGACAGACTCGGGCTCGAACCCGGGTCTGCCAGGTGTGAGGCAAGGCCCCACCCACTCTAGCTATTGCTCTAGACTTTCATGCCGCTGGTTCGTGTAACACGACGTCGGTGGTTTCAGGAGATGAGGTCACGGTTGGGTTCAGGCTGTTGGAATGGGCTCAGCGTCGTCTGGCTTTGCATGTGTGAGGTGCTGGGTTTGATTCCTGGCAAAACATGTGTGTATGCACACACATGCCAGGCTTATCTATTTCTTAGTGTCTTTGGGAACTGTTCTGTGCAGTGAAAATCAGAGTTTTTGAAAGACAGTCCAAGTTGATGTCAGTGTTTAAAAACTACAAAGGGAGACAGAGAGACAGTCCAGGGGTACAGGCGACAGTCCAGGGGTACAGGAGACAGTCCTCCCTGTGCCCCTCTCCCTGCGCCCTGTGTGCCCAGATGTGAGCCCCCCGATGTCAGGTCGGGTGGGGTCTGCGGCGAGCGTGCTTCCTGCCTGCCTTGGCTGAGCCGCCCGTGCCTGGAGACGGGGCCTGGGGGTCCGGTCGGGGTGGGAGCGGGCGGGAGGGGGCCGGAGGGGCGTCTGGGGTGGGGGTGGGGGCTCGGGCCCTGGGGTCTGCAGCGCGCCCGCCGTCGCAGGTGCTGCTGAAGATCCTGGAGCAGTACCGGCGGAAGGAGTACGTGACGCCCCGCGTGCTGCAGCAGACGCTCAACTTCCTCAACCAGGGCGTCGTGCACCCCGTGACCTGGAAGCACATGAAGCCGCACATGCAGGCAGGTCGCGGGCCGGGAGGGCGGCCGGGAGGGCGCGGGTTTGGGACGAGCGTGGCCCCTTCTCGTCCCCCAGAACATCTCCGAGGACGTCATCTTCTCCGTGATGTGCTACAAGGACGAGGACGAGGAGCTGTGGCAGGAAGATCCCTACGAGTACATCCGCATGAAGTTCGGTAAGGGGGGGTGGCACCACGCCCCTGCCCTATCCAGGTGTCACTGCGGCCCCTGCCCTGTCCCGGGCATCACCATCCCCCTGTTCTGTGTGCGGGTGTCTCTGTGTCCCCTGCCCCGTCCTGGGTGTCACCGCGCCCCCCGCTCTGTGTGGGGTGGGCTCCACACTCCTGAGCTTGCTTTCCCGCTGGGTGGGGAGAAGAAAAGCCCCAGGCTCACCCCTGTGGGGGTCTCCCCCCGAGCCCCCCAGCAGTTCTGGCCCATATCTTCAGGGGCCCTGTAGGGTGGGTGGGTGGGTCCTGGTCAGGGAGGGCCCTGAGTTCAGCACGTTTGAGCAGCTCCTGGTTCAGTTGCCCTCTACCTCGGAGGCGGGGGTTCCGGGACCCTTTTCTGGGCCCCCTCGAGAACGGGGGTTTGGGACCCTTTTCTGGGCTCCCACAGGGACAGGGGTTTCGGGCCCTTCTGTGGCCTCAGGTCACCTCCCTCCGCAGATATCTTTGAGGACTACGCCTCCCCGACCACCGCAGCCCAGACCCTGCTCTACACGGCCGCCAAGAAGAGGAAGGAGGTACCTGGGACCTGGGGCCTACCCGTGGGGGTCATGTCAGCAGGACTGACCCCCGCTCTGTCCCTGCCCTGGGAACACGGTCTTTGCTCTCTGGACGTGCTCGATGGAGCCGTGGCGGGGGTTTACCGTTGGATTCCTTCTCTCTAGGTGCTGCCGAAAATGATGGCCTTCTGCTACCAGATCCTCACGGACCCCAACTATGACCCCCGTAAGAAGGACGGGGCCCTGCACGTCATCGGCTCGCTGGCCGACATTCTCCTGAAGGTGAGGCGCTCGCTGCTGTCTGGCGGTGGTGGGTCTGCGTCTGGGGCCGCCCTCGGTGCCGGGCTCGCTCCTGCCTCCGCACTCGGCCGACGCCGGGGGCTCGGGGTCCGTGACGGATGCTGGGGAGGGGACCCGGCCAGCCATGCGCAAGGCAAGTGCCCTCCCCGCTGTGCTCTTGTCTGGCCCCGTGGTCACTGCTGGCCTCTGCTTCTTTCCGAAGAGTCTGGCCATGTGGCCTGGTGGGATGGAGCCCAGCCCACAGGACTGGGGGCACCCTCCCGGTCGGGGCCACGCCCAGTGGTGCTGGGCTGCTGCTCCTGAACGCTTGGTGCTCCCCGCCGTCCCTGGGAGGACCGTGAGGTGGCTGCATTGACCCTGGGGCTCCCCATCTTTGCCCCCTGAGGTGGCACCATGGACCGGGCGCCAGCGGTGCTCCCGCCCGCCTTGGCGACTCTGCGTCTGCTCCCCTGTCAGCGTGGCGCCGTCAGAAGGGGGATGTGATAAGGGGGACCCACGGCGCTGTCCCGGGCAGCGCTCTGGGGCCTGGGGAGTCGGCACCGGCCTGCGAGTTCTGGAGCTTAACTCGGTGTCCCGTGGTGCCCGGGATTATTCCTGCCCCGGCCCCCGGCTGTCCCTGACCCTCCCCCCCCCCCCCGTCGTCGTTCATTTTCGTTTGGGGGCCACAGGATGTGGGGATCGGGGTCGAGCTGGGAGCCCCCAGGGCCGAGAGGCGGTGCCGTGGGCAGGGAGTGGGCCCGGCTCGGGCTGGCCTGGGCTCCAGCCCCCGTGCAGAGCCGGGACCGGCCAAACCCCGCAAACCCGGCAGACCTCGGGGTTGGGCTGGGCGGGTCCCTGCTGACGCTCGCTTGTCTCTGCCCCTCAGAAGAGCGTGTTCAAGGACCAGATGGAGCCGCTGCTGCAGACGCATGTCTTCCCGCTGGTGCTGTCCGACCTGGGCTACCTCAGAGCCAGGGTGCGTGGGCCGGGGGTCGGTTCCTGCCTGTTGGCGGTTTGTGTCTTTGGCCACACCCGGCAGTGCTCAGGGCTTACACCCGGCTCTGTGCTGCATCGAGGAATCACTCCTGGTGGGCTTGGGGGACCATGCGGGCTGCCGGGGATCGAACCCGGGTCGGCCACCTGCAGGGCAATGCTGTCCCTCCAGTCCCCGTTGGTTTTGTTTTGGGGCCACACCTGGTGGTGCTAAGGGGTCACTTGGTCCCGTGGGTGAGGGTCAGGGGCCACAGGGCTGCTGGTGGAAGGCAGCCCGCCACCCCCTCCCCACACCCCCGCTCACTGAGCCCAGCATCGGGTCCGTGACTTCTTCGTTACTAAGATGGGATCGCGGGAAACGTTTTTGAGTAAATGGACTTTTTATCGCTCGGCTTGTGGCGGGATGAAATAAATTAGAATGTCCCTCCTGGCCACGTAAGTCGAATTCAAAGCAGAGAGACCAGAGCTGTGGGCCGGAGCCCTGGGCAGCCCGAGGGGTTTCCAAGTGGCTAGTGAAGGGGCAACGATGTTCCGTTCGTTTCCCCGGGGAGGGGGGTACATCCCACACCTTGGCTGTTTGGTTAATTGTGGATCACTACAGTGAGATCGGGAGCATGGGAAGGGGCTCGTTTTCCCAGAGGCTCTTAAGTCTGGGCTGGTTATTCCCAGCGGGGGAAAAATGTCACCTCACAAAAGGACCTTTCTTTCCCGGGGAAACGGGACAGTCCAGAAGCTAGAGACTAGGGCCAGCTGATCTCCAAAAGGAAAAGCTCCCCCAAGCCAGCCAGAACCGACCCCCCCCACCTCTCGCCACAGGCCTGCTGGGTGCTGCATGCCTTCAGCTCGCTCAAGTTTCACAACGAGCTCAACCTCCGCCACGCCGTGGAGCTGGCCAAGAAGAGCCTCACGGAGGACAAGGAGATGCCCGTGAAGGTGGAGGCCGCACTGGCCCTCCGCTCGCTCATCTCCAACCAGCCGCAGGGTGAGGCGGGCGCCCCCAGGCTGGCGCCGGGACGGGGGTCACGGCTCAGGCCTGCAGTTGCTGGGTGGGGGGTGGGGCGAGGGCTTGGCCACACCTGGCGGTGCCCCGGGCTTCCTCCTGTCCTGGGCTCGGGTCCCTCCTGGTGGGGGACCGTGGGGTGGGCCCGGGTTGGCCGAGTGCGGAGCTGGTGTTTCCCTCTTGCCTGCGGGTGTTGGGGGTCGTTCTGCTGTCTCGGGCGCTGGTGCTGGCCGCCTGCTGGGGCAGACGTAGGTCAGGGAGCTCATCGGCACCTCTCAGCCCCGTGCCTGGGGTCCCGCTCGCCCTGGGGTCCCCCTGGCCCGGCTCCGACGAGGAGTCCCCGCCCTGCCCGCCTGACACCTTCTCAGGTCCAGCTGTAGGTTCTGGGTCTGGTGAGGGTGCCGGCTCCCCGGGGCCCCGTTTGTCTGTGTGTGTGGGGGGGGGGACGGTTCTGTCCCGTCCCTGGGAGCCATACCCTGGGGGCAGTTGCTGTGGAGGGCGCGGCGGGTGTGTGCTCGAACCCGTGTCCCCACGTCCTTCACGTTGGCGGGGCGTGGTGCTGGAGTTTCTCGGGGACGCCCTTGAGGTCAGGAAGGAGGCTGGGGTGGGGCCGGCCGAGGGGACGGGGCCACTGTCCCCTGGCCCGGCCCTGCCCCCTCCCCCAGCCCTCACGGACGCTGTCACCACAGCCAAGGACTTCATGAAGCCGCACGTGCGGGCCGTGATGCAGGAGCTGCTGCACATCGTCCGGGAGACGGAGAATGACGACGTGACCAACGTCATCCAGAAGCTCATCTGCGAGTACAGCCAGGAGGTGGCCGCCATCGCCGTGGACATGACGCAGCACCTGGTGCGCAACGGCCGCCTCCAGGCCGGGGGAGACAGTCGGGGGCCGGGGTGGAGGGTGGGTGGTCGGCAGGCGCACTGCGTAGCTGCCCTGGAGTCTGCACCGGCGGGGCGGCCCCTCGGAGTCGCGACCTCATGGTCTCCGAGCACTGTCGGGCTTGGGCTTCTCACTCTGCCTCAGATCCCTGGGCTTGGCCGGTGTCTGTCTGTCCCTCCCTGGACGTCTCACTGCTGTTTCCCCTCTGCTGTGGTTCTGTGCAGCTGGGCCGGGGTGCTTATTATATGTGTTGTTCCTCCCTCCCTCCCTCCCTCCCTCCCTCCCTTCCTTCCTTCCTTCTTGCCCTCCCTCCCTTCCTTCCTTCCTTTTCCTTCCTTCACCTTCCTTTCTTCCTCCCAACCTCTCTCCCTCCCTTCGTGCTTCCCTCCCTCCCTCCCTCCCTCCCTCCCTCCCTCTCTCCCTCCCTCCCTCCCTCCCTGCCTTCCTCCCTTCCTTCCTTCCTTCCTTCCTTCCTTCCTTCCTTCCTTCCTTCCTTCCGTTTTTGGGTCAACCGTTTGATGTTCAGGGATTCCTCCTGGCTCTGCACTCAGGAATCACTCCTGGCGGTGCTCGGGGGACCCTACGGGATGCCGGGGATTAAACCCTGGTCCGCGCAGGCAGGGCAAAGGCCCTCCCAGCTGTACTATCAATCAAGCTCCTGTTTCATTTTCTTAGACAATTCCCTGCCTTTGTCTCCCAGACCTGTTAAATTTTCCACTTGAACCTCAGCGCCCCCGTTTCAGTGTCTGAGACTTGGGTTCGTTTAGTTACAAAGTATCTGCTCTCCCCGTTGCCTGGCAAATAGTATCTCGCTGTAGCGCCTGGAGGTGGGGGTGGTGGCTTAAGGGCCACCGCCTTAAGCCACGTCTGGTTCCTCGTCTGGGAGCCTGGGTCAGGCGTGTGGCATTGCTGGCCTGTGCCGGACACATGCATCGTCTCCGCAGGCTGAGATATTCGGCAAAGTCCTCCAGAGCGACGAGTACGAAGACATCGAGGACAAGACGGTGATGGCCATGGGGGTGCTGCACACCATCGACACCATCTTGACGGTCGTGGAGGATCACCAGGAGGTGCCTGCGTCCTTTCCTTTGTCCTTGCCGTCTCCCCGCTGACGTGGCTCAGGCGGGCGGTGGGCAGAGAGCGTCCTTCGTCACCGTGCCAGGGTTAGAGTTTCCCGCCAGGCGTAGAGGGAGAGTAACGCGCCTGGCAGGTGGCTCGCGGCCTTCGTGCTGAGTTCGGCTGCGGCCGTGAGTTTCTGAGGTTCGGGGGGGACCACGGGACAGGCCCTTGTCACAGGCGCTGGGCCCGGAGGGAGGAGCCACAGAGCGTTTTCCAGCCTTGGCCCCCGGAGCACTGTTGGGCCGAGCACTGTGCAGGCATTTCTGAAGGGCCTCTGGCAGCCGATCGAGGCTCCTGCAGGGGAGGACAGCCAGGCCTAGACGGCGTCCAGGGACCCGCACGTGGACACTAGCCAGCGCCTTGCACACCTGAGCCTGCAGGTGCCGTGATGTGACCCCGCCCGCCCCACTCGGCCTCCACAGACCTCCCCGAGGGGTGCCCGCTGACCAGGCCTGCCCTAGTGGTGCCTGACGGTGCTGCTGACTTTTGGAATGACCCGTCAGACCCTGAGGCTGTTGATTTGTCCCATGTTTATTGCACACCAGTGGAAGGCGGCTAGATTCTAGATCCTTTCTCGCTCTCTCTCTTTTTTTATTTTTCTCAGTTTTTGGGCTACACCTGGCGGTGCTCAAGGGTCACTCCTGGCTCTGCACATAGAGATTATTCCCGGTGGGCCTGGGGGACCATAGAGGATGCCTGGCGTCAAACTGAGGTCACCGCCTGCAAGGCAAACGCCCTACCCACTGTACTCAGTGGTGCTCTGCTCCCAAGAAAGCTAGATTCTTAAATTTTTCTAGTTTTGCGGGGAGGGCTGACTCCTGGCTCTGTGCTCAGGGATTACCCGAGGTGGGGTGCTGGGGACTGAGCCAGGGTCAGCTGTGTGCGAGGCAAGCTCCTTGTGTTGTCTGTCCAGCGGAAGGCCAGATTATCATCATTACTATTATTATTGGGCTGGAGTGATAGCACAGCAGGTAGGTGTTTGCCTTGCATGCAGGCAACCTGGCCGACCCGAGTTCGATTCCTCTGCCCCTCTCAGAGAGCCCGGCAAGCTACTGAGAGTATCTCGCCCGCACGGCAAAGCCTGGCAAGCTCCCCGTGCCGTACTCGATATGCCAAACACAGTAACAAGTTTCACAATGTTACTGGGTCTGCTCCAGCAAATTGATGAACAAGGGGAGGATAGTGGTAGAGGTACTATTATTCTGGCTAGTAGCTTTGGGGCCACACCTGGCCGTGCTCAGGGGTGGCTCCTGGCTGGAGCCCGGGTCAGCCTGTGGGAGCCAAGCGCCTGCCCACGGTGCCTCTTCGCCCTGCCAGGCTCTTCGTGGCTGTCCTGGAAGCATAGTGTGGATCTTTATTCCCACGGCTGGTTTTCACTTTCACGCCCTGGTTGAAGCGGCTGGTTCCTCAGAGAACAGGCGTTTTTTGGGCAAGGGACACGGGGTGTTCCTACGGGGCTGTCCCTGCTCTCGCTCCCGCCTGCCCAGTGCGTGCTGGGTTTGAGGAGACCAGAGCGGCTGCTGCCCACGCGTGCTCGGGAGGCTGTTTTGTGGCGGGAAGGCCGGAACAGAGCAGACTCAGCGGGTGATTTACTGAAATCTCCTGACTCAAGGCATAGAGCTTCCTCGGTTTCCAGTCCCGGCGCCCCCGTGCTGTGTATGGTGGTGGGGGGAGGAGCGAGTCCTCCGGCTTCTCTCCCCCTCCCCACACCCCCACTGCAGACCCCGCAGAGCGCGGCCCCCTCCCGTGCCCCCAGTGTCGAGCTCACGTCCCTGGGGCTCTCTTGCGAGGCCTCTGCCCTCCCCATTTGGTTGGATTTCACCCACCGGGGACGCGATGATCTCTGTGAAGCCGTTAGAAACCGTCTCAGTTTTCTGCTTATCTCTGGCTCCCACTGTCCCGTTACAAAGTGCGTTAGTGGGAATCGAATGCGGGGCTCCAGGGACTGGCTCTCATGACTGGACTTCAGGTCATTCTAAACTCGGGGGGGGGGCACACATGGATTCCTTTTATGTCTTCTCGTGCTTTTCACAGCTCAGATCGTCCTCCCAAGATCTTTGCTCTGCTCGTGTTCTATCCGGGCACGAGGTCCAGGGTGCGGTGCAGGCCACGGCTTCTCTGAAGGGCGTGGGAGGCGCCGGTGTAACTTGCCATCTGGCCGCCGCGGGGCTTTCTGTGTCCGTCACGTTCAGCCCCACCACGTGAGCTGTAGCCTTGTCCGTGTCGCCTCTCAGGTCTGGTTTTAAGCCTGAGGCTTACCATGATGAATTTATTTTACTTCATTTTTTTTTGCTTTTTGGGTCACGCCTGGCAATGCTCAGGGGTTACTCCTGGCTCATGCACTCAGGAATTACTCCTGGCAGTGCTTGGGGGACCCTATGGGATGCTGGGAATCGAACCCGGGTTGGCCATGTTGGCTGTGTGCAAGGCAAACGCCCTACCCACTGTGCCGTCGCTCCAGCCCCCTATCATGAGGAATTTTAAATGGAAGACTTTTATGTTCGTCTGCAGGTGACACAGCAGCTGGAGAACATCTGCTTACGCATCATCGATCTGGTGCTGCAGAAACACGTGATCGGTGAGTTCGAGGGGTGTGTGAAAAGGTAGAGTGAGGAGTGAGGGTTTTTTTTTTTTTTTGAGGGGGGTTTACACTCAGTGGTACTCAGGGTCACTCCTGATGGCAATCACGCATCCACTCCTGCTGGGGTTTGGGGGACCCTATGGGGTGCCGGGGATCAAACCTGGGTTGGCCGCGTGCAAGGCAAGTGCCCTCCCCGCTGTCCTTTCGCTCTGGCCCCATTAATGTGGTGACCTTGGAGCATTCCTTCCTCGGGCCGGCACTTCTGAGCCAGGGCACTCCCGTTCTCTTTGGACTTTGTATTCACTTTCTGCTGGGCAGGGGCAGATGATGTTCTCATCTCTCCATGAAAGTGTGTCCCGCTAGGAATTTCTGGTTTGGGGCCAGAGATAGGAAGTTTGCCTTCCAAGCAGCTGACCTGGGTTTGATCCCCAGCACTGTGTGGTCCCCTGAGCACCTCCAGGAATAATGGCTGAGCACAGAGCCAGGGGTAAGCCCTGAGCACCTCCAGGAATAATGGCTGAGCACAGAGCCAGGGGTAAGCCCTGAGCACCTCCAGGAATAATGGCTGAGCACAGAGCCAGGGGTAAGCCCTGAGCCCGCCAGGTGTGGTGAAAAAACAAAACTAAAATAAGGTTAACAAGAAACTCATTTTGAAAAGGCGTTTGGTCTCGGGCTTTTTGCCCTGTGTGGGGATCGAACCCAGAGCCTCCTGTAGGGAGGGAGTGTCCTTACCACCAACCAGCATCCCTGACCCTGGTCTTGGGATTTTTTTGTGGGGAGGGGAGGGGTGTGGGCAGGCCACACCTGGCTACGTGCAGGGGTTACTCCTGGCTCTGCACTCAGGAATCACTCCTGGCAGTGCTCGGGGACCACATGGGTGCTGGGGGTTGAATCCCAGTTGGTGGGTGCAGATGCAAGCGCCCTGCCCACTGCACTATCTCTCTGGCCCCCACTCTTTGAATTGTACTTTTAAAAAAAGTTCTTATTGCACTTTATTTAGAGTTGGGCTGGAATGATAGCACAGTGGAAGGGTGTTTGCCTTGCATGCAGCTGACCTGGCTGAGCCGGGTTTGATTCCTCCGCCCCTCTCGGAGAGCCCGGCAAGCTACTGAGAGTATCTCGCCCGCATGGCAAAGCCTGGCAAGCTCCCCTTGGTGCATTTAATATGCCAAACACAGTAACAACAAATCTCGCAATGGAGATGTTACTGGGCTCGCTCGAGCAAAGCACCCAGCTGTGTTCAGGAATCACTCCTGGCAGTGCTTTGGGACCATGTGGGATGCTGGGTTTGAACCCTGGTTGGCTCCTTGCAAGGCAACCCCCCCCACCCGCCCCCCTACCCGTATTGTCATTCTGGCCCCAGTTCTATTAAGGACAGAGATTTACTTTTTTTTTTTAAGAAATAATTTCATTATCCAGTAAGAACGTGTGACTTTCTTCTTCCGGTTTGTTTTTGGGCCGCAGCCGGCGGTGCTCTGGCAGTGGCGTTTGGGGACCCCCCGTGATGCCAGGGATTGAACCGGGCTGGTAGCGTGCAAGACAGCGCCCTCCCCGCTGTGTGGTCGCTCTGAAGAATTCTTCCCATAAGAATTTTACTGGAAAAGAATTGTACTTTGTTGATTGACTTAGGACTTGGGGCCTTCCCAGCTCTGCCTAGGGGTCAGTCCTGGTGGTGCTCGGGGGGCGGTGTGTGGGGCCGGGGTTGAGCCCTGGTCGGCCTTGTGCAGGGCCAGTGCCCGGCCTGCCTGTACCCGAGAGGCGACCCCGTCCTGCGGGAAGGTTTGCAGCGTGCGGAGCGTGGGGGATGGGAGGGAGGTCGAGGCTGAGTTGGCCCCGGGTGCCCAGGGCGGGTCAGGCCGTCCCGTCCCGTCCCCTCTCAGGCCTTGCCACGCAGCGTAGAAAACGGGAGCTCTGCCCTCCCTTGGGAGCGCACCCCCCCCCCCCCCCGCCGAGGGCCCCGATCAGGTGGTGCCGTGGTCGGGGATGAGGTGAGCCGTCCCCGGGCTGCCCCTGCCTCCGGGTCTGACGTGGGCGGCTCCCTCCGTCCTCACAGTAAACGCGACACACATGTCACACAGTCTGCTCGCCAGAGGGCAGCTCCTGGCTGCAGGTAGTTACGGGATTAATTTTAATTAATTTTAATTTTAGTTTAGTCCATTAGCGCCGAGGACAGCTTCCTTTTATGGTGCTGCCGTGAAGATGAAGATGAGGCGGACCGGGGAGTTTGGGAATTGGCTGCGTGTCCTGCCGAGGCGGGAAGGATGTAAAACCAGCCAAACCGGTCATTGAAGTGCATTTACACAGGGAGCGGAGACGTTTTCCGTCTTGTAGTTGTGTTGTGGCATCGAAGTTATTTGCCTTTATTCCGCTAAGTAGCAGCGAGAAGCTGTTTCTTTCGTAATCAGGGATCTTTCCTTTTCAAAGCATCGGGCGGGCGTCTGCTCCTACTGGGAAAATCGAAGCCGGGAGGGTTCCAGGTGGAGAGGGTCGAGTTCACTCCCGGGGCCCCTGTGCGAGAATCCCCATTGGGTCTCAGGGACAGGGTGCCGAGGGAGAGAGCGGCTCTGGCCTTCAGGCGCAGAGAGCAGGGCCAGCCTCTCGGCCGCCCGCCCCGGCCGGCCCTCAGACGCCCACCCTGGCCCCCAGATGGCCTCCCCTCCCCTCAGGCGGCCTCGGACCTGCTCCCTGTTGTTTTCTCAGTCCAGTCCCCTGCTCCAGAGCCCACCCTCCAGGCCTCCTGCCTCTTAGGGGAGGAGGGAGTGTCGGGGGAGGGGGGAGAGTCATGTCCTGGCTGCTCCTTCCCTGCTCTGGGACCTGCTGCTTCCAGGTCAGCACCGGCCTCGCTTTAGCTGCTTTGCCTGGGGACGGGCATTGGGAGAGGCTGCCCCGCCCCGGGCGGCCCGGCCTGAAAACACCTGCCCACAGCTGGCGTGGGTGCGAGGTCTGAGGGAAGACTGGAATGGGGCAGTGCGGCCGCCGGGCTCTCGGAGAGGGCGAGGGCAGAGGGATGGCCTCTGTCCCCTGTCCTCTGTCGCCATGTCCCCCAGGCCCCGCCCCGCCCTGTCCCCAGCCCGTTGGCCCCGGCCCCCGCAGGTCCTCGGTGACTGGGCAGCTGCGTCCCTGCAGGCCTGGGCCTCCTCAGCTTCCCTGAGCCGAGCTGTCGGGAGTTTGGATTCGTACAATTTATTGTTTCCACATGGTTGTCTCACGTGTTTCTAATGATTTCTGTGTCACTGTCTCTTGAGTTCTATTTTGTAAGACAAATATTGCTAGTTTTTGAACGCATTAGCTTCTGAATGATATCACAGTAAAAACAAATTTTTTTTTCATTCCTTTTAATGCGGGAAAAATTTGAAGTTAGGCTTGCCTGCCAGTGACACGGTCGGGAACGATTGACATTTTTGTACGAAGCGTGTGGCTGAGGGTTGCCTGTTTAGAAACCGTTTCCTTCTCCTTGAGGGCTGTGCTGGTGTGTGTGTGTGTGTGTGTGTGTGTAGATCACACAGGCACATCCTTGCTCTCTGCAGTGGGCTGTCCTTGGAAGTGGGAGACCCGTGTGTGGACCCCAGGGTTGGAGTTGGAAGACGCTTCCTTGGGGGGGGGGGGGGCTGGGGAGGTGCCCAGAGGCTCCGGGCACGTGGCTGTGCGCCTGGTCCCCGCGTGGTGGCCCGAACAGCACCAGCGCCCAGGGACAAACCTAAGCCCAGCAACAGCTCAAACTGACCGCGGGGAGCCAGGGTGCACGCGGGGACCTGCTGGCTGGGCCGATCAGTCTCAGCTCCCCAGATGGCCTGGGCCCCGAGCACTGTGGCCCAGCGGCCTCCTGCCGAGTGACCGGGGACAGCCCACATTTCAGCCCCATTGCGTGAAGCGCCCGAGACCGGCCTTGGGTCCTGTGGCGGGGGGACAGTCCCTCTTCCGGGAGCAGGCGGCGTGTGAGGGTGCGGCGCGGGGATGCGGCTGGTGCCGTGTGGGCTGGGCTGAGCCCGCGTCCGTCCTTCCAGACTTCTACGAGGAGATCCTGTCCCTGGCCTACAGCCTCACCTGCCACGGCGTCTCCCCGCAGATGTGGCAGCTGCTCGGCATCTTCTACGAGGTCTTCCAGCAGGACTGCTTCGAGTACTTCACAGGTAGGCGCAGGCGGGCTCGCCCGTTGGCTGTCCTGGGTCCTGGGCCCAGACCTGCGGCGCCTCCCTGGGGGGCTCAGCAGGGCTCGGTGCCTGCTGTCGGGGCAGGTGGGTTGGGGGGCTTTGCCGTGCCCCGGGGAGTGACGCGTTGCTGCCCCGTGACCGGGGACGTGGCCGTTCCCCAGACATGATGCCCCTCCTGCACAACTACGTGACCATCGACACCAGCGCTCTGCTCGCGAACCCCAAGCACCTGGAAATCCTCTTCACCATGTGCAGGAAGGTGAGTGTGTCCAGGCGGCTGCCGATCCACTCTTGCGGGGAGGGGGGGCTCGCGTCGGGACACACGGTGTGTCCAGCTCAGAAGTGCCTTCAGCAGGGGCCCAGTCTGTTTGCCAGTGCACCGGTTGGGAGAAGTGCTGTGTGTTGTGTTGTGCGTGAGTGTGTCCGTTGCCTGCAGGGCTGTGTTCGCTCGCTCTCTCCCTCTCTCCCTCCTCTTTCTCTCTTCTCTCCCTTCGCTCTTTCTCTCCCCCTTTCTCTCTCTCTCTCTCTCTCTCTCTCTCTCTCTCTCTCCTCTCCTCTCTCCTTCTTTCTCTTCTCTCTGTGAGTGTGTCCACTGTCTGCAGGGCTGTGCTCTTTTTTTTTTTTCTCTTTTTGGGTCACACCCGGCGATGCACAGGGGTTGCTCCTGGCTCTGCGCTCAGAAATTACCCCTGGCGATGCTCAGGGGACCCTATGGGATGCTGGGAATCGAACCTGGGTTGGCTGCGTGCAAGGCAAACACCCTACCCGCTGTGCTATTGCTCCAGCCCCAGGGCTGTGCGCTTTGTAACAGTGGCTTCAGCCTCCTAGGCCCACGGAGACCCACTGTGTGTGTGTCCAGAGTCGGGATTTCCCTTATTTCCGACAACTCATTTTCTCACTTGATTAAGAAAAGCACTAGAAGGATTGACCATGCAGTTGGTTGTTAGTGCTTTTTCCTGGGTTATATGGATGATGTCGGAAGTCACTAAATGTGGGTTGTTTGGACACAAATAGTGTAGGACACAAAAATGGGAATTGTTGAAGACATCGCATCCTGTCACTGAGCACAGGTGGCTTATCGGCCACGTTTCGGCTGTTCTTAAGCACACGCACAGCAGGCGCGGGTGAGTAGCTTCTCAAGGTGCACATACGCACATACATGAACATAACCGTTTAGTGGGAGGTGCGCAGATTCTAGAAACCCCAGATAACCAGGAACCAGAGTCTGGCGTGGGCTCGGGAGCGAACGGGCCGGCTGGGCTGGTCTCTCGCCGCAGAGCTGCGTGCTGTGTCCCAGCATTTCTGATCAGCCTTCGGGGCTCTGGTTCCAGTGCCGCTCTGAAGGGCAGTTCTGGGAGAATTTGGGGAGCACTGAGCCCCGTATCCATATGGGAGGAGGAGGCGCTTGATTGCTAAAGGCTCATCCTGAGCCTCCCTGTTGAGTCCCAGTCCCGAGATGCCTGGATGTTTGCAACACCCGTGAGTGGAGGCGAGGGACAGGCCCCCGGGATGACACTGCCCGTGGTCCCATTATGGTTCTGAGTGTGGGAAGCCTCGCACGTGGCCACAGATTCAAAGAAACGCAACTGTCGTGCGGGCTTCCTTGTGTGCGAGGCTTCTTTTGTGTGTCCTGCTTTCATCTCGCTGCCCGGGTCTGTGGGCGCTTGTGGAGGGGCTTTGGCTGCCCTCGGTCCAGTCAGGCGTCTGCTCCCTTACCAGCGTGTTCAGTCGGCGCTGCTGTTGGTGTTAACTGAGCCACAGCCACGTGGGAGCCACTGGTGGGACCCGCTGGTGCTGTGTCATTCCAAAGTCACACCCGTGAATTATTATTCCTCATAAAGAATGAGAGTGTGTGTGTGGGGGGGGGTCTGAAGAGATAAAACAGAGGTTAAGGCGCTTGTCCTGCATGTGGCCGGCCTTGATCCCCAGCACCCCGTCCTCCAAGGCCCCCTGGGAGTGATCCCAGAGTACAGCGCCAGGAGTCAGCCCTGAGCACCGCTGGGCAAGGCCCCTAACCAAAATCCAAACAAAAGAAAGTGGAATGGGGACCAGCGGGCAGAGGGACGGTTGCAGGTACTTGTCTGGCATGCAGCTGACATGTAATCCCTGGCGTGGCATGGCCCCTGAGCACAGAGCTGGGGGTCGCCCCTGAGTGTGGCTGGGGGTGCCCCCAGCCTCAAGAGAAGGAAATTAGGGTACATGGGGCAGTGTGGTTGTGGGGGGCGTTGTCTCTGCGTGCCCTCGGCCCAGCACTGAGCCCCGTTGTGTGACTCAGGTCCTGTGTGGAGACGCCGGGGAGGACGCGGAGTGCCACGCGGCCAAGCTGCTCGAGGTCATCATTCTGCAGTGCAAAGGAAGGGGCATCGACCAGGTAACCCCAGCCAGCACCGCAGTCCGGGCGGAGCTCGGTGGGAAGTTTCAGGCCAGCTCACGCGTGCCGTGCAGTCTCGAAGCCCTACCTGTGTTTCAGCGAGGAAAAATAACGCAGGAAACTACGTAGTCATTTATGGGGCTGCCAGGCGGTCGTGGAGTAGGAGAATATGAAAGTTCTACTGTGTGATTCCCAGAGGTCACCTCTCTGCCTGTGTGTGTGCAGTTTCAGCTCTCCCAGGCACCTTAACCGGAAGTGGAGGGGGGCCCCCCCCCGGAAGGCGTGGAGTGTGTGGGAGGCCCTGGGCAGCATGCGGGGGACACGGCCCTGCCCGCAGGAAGGGGACACAGGAAGGGGACGCTGGTGGAGGGGTGGTCTTGACACACTGGATTCCCGAAACCCAGTCATGGGTAACTGTGTAACTCACAGTGGCTGGATGAAACAGAACCTTTAAAAAATCCAGGTGCGGCTCAGTGGTCCCAGACCGCGTACGGCCTCACGCGTGTGGCCAGACTGTGCGGAGCCCCCAGCCTCACTCGCTCATTTGTTCTCTCTTCCTTTTGCACTGACACTCACTTCCTGGAAAGTCGCCCACACGGGTTACTCTCTGCAGTGCTTTTACTCTTCAGTTTCTGTGACTCTGTTTCCTGTCGTGCTGGATTTCAGATGCCCGGAGTCACCCCGCTCGGCTTAGGGGTGGTTGGTCCGTCCGCAGGCTCCCAGTTTGGGGGCATTCCTTCCTGCCCCCTGCCGCCCTGCGCCCCGGCCGCTGTCTCCCCTTCTCTGGGGCGTGAGCCTCTGGCTGGCCATGCGGGGCGGCTGTCCCCCTGGCGTTTCCTTTGCTGCTGTGACACCATGTGTCTGGTTCCCGCAAATGGCGTCAGAGTATCTGCTCCTGTAGGAGATGCCGTGGGTCCAGGCAGAGCCCCTGTGAGCTGCTGGGGTTCCCGGTATCGGCCCGCTCAGCCTGGGGGTGGGGCCCGTTCGGCTTCCTGCAGTTCGGAATCGCAGGTTTCTTGGAACAGCTCCCTCACCTCCTTGTTAACTTGATTCCTAGAGACTTGAAGGGTTTCTGCAAGACACAATCATGAATGAAGTTGTTTTTATTTGAGTCGATTAATTTCCTTCTGTTTCCGGGCCATTCCCGGTGGTGCTCAGGACTCAGTCCTGCCCTGTGCTCAGTGATCACTCCTGGCGAGGCTCAGGGGACCTTCTGGAGTGCCGGGGCCTGAACTCAGCTTGGAGGCTTGTAAGGCACACGCTCGACCCGCTGTACCATCACTTGGCCTTGAGCTAGCTTTCAACATTTCTCTCGTGTGTCACTGTGTCCGTGTAAGAGCTCGGACCTCTGAGCAGGGGCTCTGCACTGCTGCTTCACCGGGGGCCCTTGGGCCCCAGGGTGGTGGCGTCTGTGGGCTTCTGTCCACATGTCACTCTCCCAAGAAGCGTGGGACCCCCGTGGGGTCTGGGTCCCTGCAGCTTCTCTTTTCTGTCTCACCAATGGCCAGGGCCCCTGCACAGTGCTGGCTATGGTGGACGCCTGGACTCGCGCTGGCCCCGGGAAGGCTTCCCGCTTTCCCTGCTCAGGATAATACTGGCTGGGGCTTATCACCTGTGGCCTTGCCAAGGCCCATTTTGTTGAGGATTTACATCCTGAATGGCTGCTGGGTCTTGTCGAATGCTTCCTCTGCATCTGTAGCGATGATTCTATGTGGTATATGTGTCATGCCAATGAATTTGTGAAAGCTGAACCATCTTTTCATCCCTAGGATAAACCCCACTCGATCTCGGTGTATAATGTGTTTAATATATTGTATTTGCTTGACCCCAAATTTTATGGCGGGTCTTTGCTGCTTCTGTCTTCATCAAGAATATTGGCTGAACCTTTTTTTTTTTTTCTTTTTAAATAATGCCTTTGCCGACTTTTGGCGCTGGGCTAATGCTGACCCCATAGAGACTGGGGGGCTTCCTGTTCTGGTACTTTCTGGGGAGCTTGAGAAGATGGGCTGTAGGTCCCCTCTGGCCATCTGTGAACTCACCATGACCCTGTGGCCCTGGGCTTTCCTTCCTGGGTGCTTTTGGTCGTGCCTGATGCTGCAGGCTCTTGGGGTGTCCGACCTCAGGCCTCAGCCTTGTGCCGTCACAGGACTTGAGTTTTTTCTCCATTTTTCTTCTCGAGTTTCCAGCTAGTGGCAGAAGTTGCTCCCGGTAATCTCTTAGAACCTTTATTTTCCCTTTTTGGGTCACACCCGGTGATGCTCGGGGGTTCCTTCTGGCTCTGCACTCGGGAGTTACTCCTGGCAGTGCTCAGGAAACCATATGGGACACCGGGGATTGGACCTGGGTTGGCCGCGTGCAAGGCAAACGCTCCTGCCCCGTGTCTTAGGGTCTTTTGTGTTTCTTTGGTTTCTGTTCTGACTTCTCCGCCTTTGCCTCTGACTTGATCCCTCAGGGCTTTCTCTCTCCCTTGGTGAGTCTAGCCGGGGCCTTGCCAGTTCCTGTTGATGCTTCCAAAAACTACCTCTCGGCGTTACTGATCTTCCGTGCGAGCTTTTGACTCCCGTCACCGCTCGTTTGTGCTCAGGACTTCTTATTCTTCCCTGCTCTGCGTCCTTGGGGCTCCTCCCATGTTCTTTCCCTAGACGATACTTGGGTGGTCTCCAGAAGTGACCTGGGCCACCCCGGTGCTTGTTCAGGGTAATGCATGGGTGGGGGCTCTGCCCGCGGGGGTCACTCCCGCCGTGGCTGGGGTCGAGCCCGGGCGGCCGTGGGCCGGGCGAGCGTCTGGGTCCCCACACACCACTGACCAGCGTCTCCGTCCCGCAGTGCATCCCGCTCTTCGTGCAGCTGGTCCTGGGGCGCCTGACGCGCGGGGTGAAGACCAGCGAGCTGCGCACCATGTGCCTGCAGGTGGCCATCGCCGCGCTCTACTACAGCCCCACGCTGCTCCTGCACACGCTCGAGCGGACGCAGCTGCCCCCGCACCCGGGGCCCGTCACCGTCCAGTTCATCAACCAGTGGATGAGCGACACGGATTGTTTCCTGGGGTACGTGTGCGGCCGTGGCTCCCGCGTGGCTGCTGGGGTTTCGCTCGGGGCCACGGGCAGGCAGTGCCGGGATGGAGCCGGGGTTGGCGTCTCGCCCCTGCCGTCCCCGCCGTCCCCTCAGCCTCGCGTCGGCCGCTTGATATTTTTAGATTTTTTTTAAAAAAACTTGTGTCACAGTGAGTCAGTCAGTTGATCACGATCGAGTTTCGCGCATAGTTTTCCAGCACGGGTCCCTCCCCCAGTTTCCCTCCCGACCCCGACCTGCGTCTACGGGGCGCGTTTTCCTTCCCGCCTGTTTAATGTGTTCCTCGCATAGCAAGTCAGAGGCTAAGTCCGTGCCCTGAGAATCGGTCCTGCATGCAACAGTAGAGAGCCAGTTGGGGTCGGGAAGGCGGCACTGCCCCTCCCCACTGCGTCGCTGCTGCTGACTGATGGGGCCACAGCCCACTGGGCGGAGTGGCCCCGCCACCGTCCCTGGCCTCTCAGGTGTCTGGGCCGGCACCTGCGGGGGGACTGTCCTGGCCACCTTCACTCTCAGCAGAACCTGCCGCTAAGTGTGAGGTCAGAGGGGCGTGGGGGGCCTGGGGCTAGCTTCAGACTCAGGTGCAGGGGACAGGGGACTCACAGAGGAGCCGCGCGTCCGTCCCACGGGAATCAGCGCAGGCCAGAGGCACCTGACTCGGACTGGAGGCTGGGGGTGCGGTCAGGCTATTTGCCCGGAACCTGCCCGACCCGGGTTCCACCCCTGGCACCAGCTCTGATCCCACCAGGAGCGAGCCCTGAGCACAGAGGGAGGAGTGAGCTCTGAGCACTGTAGGTGTGCCCCGAACCCCGGAAACAGCAACAGCAGAAGCACCCCCCACCCCATCAGTCCTGCTGCCCTGGGCGGTGGGCAGTTTCCTTTTGGCAACTGCCAATGTGGGAGGTGGGGAGGGCTGAGTTAGAGACTGGTAGGACAGGCTCGGGAGGCTGCTGAGTGGACGTGCCGGTTCACCTGGGGGACCCCGACGCGGGCGTTGAGGGGGGCCCTGAAGGGAACCGGCTCCGGTGTTGGGAGCAGCTGCTCGCGGCTGGCAGGTGCGCCTCTGTCCGGCGCTGGGTCCTACGTCACCACTGCATCCCAGGCACGCTGAGCTTGTCCCTGGCTGCTCTGTAGCGGCCTGCTCTAGGCCTTCCGCAGCTGGCCTGTGCCACGTGGATGAGGAAGCCTGGAGGCCCAGGCCGCTTCCTGTGGCGCGCTCCGATGCTGTACTGGAACGGTCAGGCTCCTGGGATGCTTGTACTGTAGCCAGTCAGCCTCCTGGGATGCTCACACTGTAGCCAATCAGACTCCTGGGATGCTCGTACTGTAGCCAATCAGGCTCCTGGGATGCTCGCACTGTAGCCAATCAGGCACCTGGGATGCTCGCACTGTAGCCAATCAGGCACCTGGGATGCTCGTACTGTAGCCAATCAGGCTCCTGGGATGCTCGTACTGTAGCCAATCAGGCTCCTGGGATGCTCGCACTGTAGCCAATCAGGCTCCTGGGATGCTCGCACTGTAGCCAATCAGGCACCTGGGATGCTCGTACTGTAGCCAATCAGGCTCCTGGGATGCTCGCACTGTAGCCAATCAGGCACCTGGGATGCTCGTACTGTAGCCAATCAGGCTCCTGGGATTCTCACACTGTAGCCAATCAGACTCCTGGGATGCTCATACTGTAGCCAATCAGGCATCTGGGATGCTCGTACTGTAGCCAGTCAGGCTCCTGGGATTCTCACACTGTAGCCAATCAGACTCCTGGGATGCTCATACTGTAGCCAATCAGGCATCTGGGATGCTCGTACTGTAGCAAGTCAGGCTCCTGGGATGCTCGCACTGTAGCCAATCAGGCACCTGGGATGCTCGTACTGTAGCCAGTCAGGCTCCTGGGATGCTCGCACTGTAGCCAATCAGGCATCTGGGATGCTCGTACTGTAGCCAATCAGGCTCCTGGGATTCTCACACTGTAGCCAATCAGACTCCTGGGATGCTCATACTGTAGCCAATCAGGCATCTGGGATGCTCGTACTGTAGCCAGTCAGGCTCCTGGGATTCTCACACTGTAGCCAATCAGACTCCTGGGATGCTCATACTGTAGCCAATCAGGCATCTGGGATGCTCGTACTGTAGCAAGTCAGGCTCCTGGGATGCTCGCACTGTAGCCAATCAGGCAGTGAAGAACAGTGAAAAGTCACAGCCCCTGTCAGATTCACTGCGGGACTCCCATATTACTCTGGGGGTGGGGGGGCGCACACCCGGTGTGCTCAGAGATTCCCCCTGGCTCTGCCCTCAGGGCTCACTGCGAGTGGTGCTGGGGGACCATCTGGGATGCGGGAGTGGAACCTGGTTGGCTGCTCACAGGGCTGACGCCCTCCCTGCTGCACTGTCGCTCCGCCCCCACGTAGCACTCTATTCATTTCTGTTGTGGGCCGCATCTGACAGTGCTCAGGCCCATCTGGTGCTGGGTGTGGAACTGGGCCCCGCCCACTTAAGTCCTGTGTTCTGTTGCTCCACCCACGTCTTCGGCCCCTGAGACTCTGATTTTCAAATAATATGAATCGCTAAGAATGAATTTTTTTGTTCATTCCTACAATTTTAAATGTGTTGCACCAATACAATAGTTTTCCTTAATATTTTTAGTTGTTTTTAAAAGTATGTGTTTAAAATGTATATAGGGGCTGGAGAGATCGCACAACGCATAGGGTGTTTGCCTTGCACGCGGCCAACCCGGGTTCGATTCCCAGCATCCCATAGGGTCCCCTGAGCACTGCCAGGAGTAACTCCTGAGTGCAGAGCCAGGAGGAACCCCTGAGCATTGCCAGGTGTGACCCAAAAAGCAAATATATATATATATGTATATACAGTGGTAGGGCGTTTGCCTTGCACGCAGCCAACATGGCCAACCCGAGTTCGATTCCTCTGCCCCTCTCTGAGAGCCCGGCAAGCTACCGAGAGTATCTCGCCCACACGGCAGGGCCTGGCAAGCCACCCGTGATGTATTCGATATGCCAAACACAGTAGCAACAAAATCTCCGATGGAGACGTTACTGGGCCCGCTCGAGCAAATCGATGAACAACGGGAGGGCCTTTACCTTTACCTTTATACATATACATATATATATAAACTTGTTTTGAAAAGTATATGTTTAAAAAAATGTGTGTTTAGCTTTAAATGACAGACTATGTAGTAGAGAATATCTGTCATGTTTACTGCCCGGGAGGACAGGCTGTGGACACTCCCTCTCCCCGCCGATGGGAGTGTGGTACTTGCTGTCCGGGGCAGGGCGAGCCGGGCCGGAAGCTGAGCGCTCACCCATGCCGCAGATCACACGTGGACCTTTGATGAGGAGTTTGACAGGGGCGTGCTCTGTGTCCCCCAGTCAGGGAGTGGCGGGGGCCTGCGTCCCCAGCCAGGTGTCAGGGCCGCGGCCGGGCCGTTGCCCCCAGCCCAGTGTCAGGCAAGTCCCCCCCAGGGAGGCAGGGCAGGGAGGTGGCCGGGCTGGTGTCCCCCCAGGGAGGCAGGGAGGGGCCGGGTCCGCGTCCCCCCCAGGGAGGCAGGGCTGTTGCAGGGGCCCGTCCCGCCGGCAGGCACCACGACCGGAAGATGTGCATCATCGGGCTGAGTGTCCTCCTGGAGCTGCAGGACCGGCCCCCCGCCGTGGACGCGGTGGCCGCGCAGATCGTGCCCTCGGTGCTTTTCCTCTTCCTGGGCCTGAAGCAGGTGTGTGCCACCCGGCAGCTGGCCAGCCGCGAGGAGAACGCCCGGGCGGAGAAGGCGGAGGTGGAGGAGAACGGTGAGGCCCGCGGGCGGGGGTGGGCATAGTCCAGCCACGGGTTTCCCCTCTCGTGGGCCTTGCAGGCTCCTGGGATGCTCGTACTGTAGTCAATCAGACTCCTGGGATGCTCGTACTGTAGCCAATCAGGCTCCAGGAATGTTCGTACTGTAGCCAATCAGACTCCTGGGATGCTCAGATGTAACCAATAAGACTCCTGGGATGCTTGGACTCTAGCCAATCAGGCTCCAGGCTCCTGGGATGCTTGTACTGTAGCCAATCAGACTCCTGGGATGCTCGTACTGTAGCCAATGATGCTCCTGGGATGCTCGTACTGTAGCCAATCAGGCTCCTGGGATGCTCGTACTGTAGCCAATCAGGCTCCTGGGATGGCTCCATTCCTGTCCGGACACACAGGTGTCCTCCCCCCTCCCCTCCCCCCCCCCCCCCCCCCCCCCCCCCCGCCCCGCGACAGTGTGTGGAGCTGGAGTCAGGAGAGGGTCAGCTGCAGAGGGCAGTGCTCCCGACTCAGTGCTCCCCATCCATTGAAGACATTTGCAGTTCACCTAAAGTAAATTTAGGGTCAAGTATAGAAATGACGGTATTTTTCCTTACTCGAAGTCCAGGATAAGACAGGTCAGACCAAAAATGTTAGATTTCCGTTTAATTATTCTCTCTTACGTAGATGGTCCCGGGGCTGGACCCCAGGGGAGGGGCACACACTGGCCAACCTAGCAGTCCCGGGCCCTGATGGCTTTGTGTCATCACAGAATTCCTTCTGAGGGCCAGGCTGAGACAGCCAACGCCCCGGGGATAGTTCCCTCTTCCGCCCCAAAGGAGACTTTGCGGAAAATGAGCGGCTTTCCTGGGGAATTCTGTCTCTGAGGCTGAGTTCCGTGGCCTCCCTTCTGCATGTGCAGATTCAGGCCTTGGGTGGGCAGCTCTGCAGCAGGGGCGGTGCCGATGCCCCCAGCCCTGAGTGCAGCCAGCCTGCTCATCTCTGAGCGGACGCCAGCGGCCCACCTGGCAGTGCGCTGGTTCTCAGTGGTCGCCTGGCTCGTTCCTTGTTGCTTGTGGCCCTGGGGACTGATGCTTCAGGTACTGCCTGACTTGGTGTTGGCGATTCCCACTCCGGTACAGCCTGACTGAGGAGCCGTGGCCGGTCTCCTTGGTGCCATGTCGGGTGTCATGAAACTCACCATTGGCTGACATTGCCGCAGTTTGAGGTCACGGCACCCGGTGTGGTGGTTTGTTGAGTCTGGCTCTGGGGATGAGGTCTGCACCCAAGGAGAAACGGGGCCATGACCCTGGCATTGAGCCTCCCGGCCCTCAGGCCACAAACCCTGCCATGTTCCCTGTACTTCAGCATCTTTTAGTTCTGCTAGCAGAGGTGAGAAGTGCTTTGCTAGAGCATGTCTGAGCAGTTACAGGCTGCTTAGTGAGGGGAGGGCGTTGCCCTTTAAAGCACGCTGCCCACGGGCCCCCCCCCCCCCCCCCCCCCCCCCGTGTCCCTCGTTTCCGACGAGGTACTTCGGCAGTGTGTGTGGGGGTGTCGGAGAGGTAGTGTGAGCCGAGCCCAGAGTCAGGCCCCGCGGGGCTGTTTCCAGGGAGGAGGGACGGTCCCATCCCAGCGGAAAGGACATTTCTAATATGACGGGAAACCAGGCGGCCAGTTTTCCGTTCCCAGAATGTCATTGGGTCGTTCTTGTTCTTTTCATGGACTTTGATCGTGTTTTGCCTCGTGTGTTCTGTTCCCTTTGACTTGATGACCGGCCCTGCAGAGGAGATCTCCAGCGATGAAGAGGAGACCGCGGTCAGTGCCCAGGCCATGCAGTCCAGTAACGGGAGGGGGGACGAGGAGGAGGAGGACGACGATGACTGGGACGAGGAGGTGCTGGAGGAGACGGCCCTGGAGAGCTTCAGCACGCCGCTGGACCTGGACGGCAGCGTGGATGAGTACCAGTTCTTCACGCAGGCCCTCCTGGGTACGCTGCCCTGGCCAGCCCCGTCCTGGCCAGCCCCGGCCTAAGCCTCTTTAAGGCCCCGCCCCAGGGGCTGGAACAATAGCACAGCGGGTAGGGCATTTGCCTTGCTCGCAGTCGACCCGGGTTCGATTCCCAGCATCCCATATGGTCCCCTGAGCACCGCCAGGGGTAATTCCTGAGCACAGAGCCAGGAGTAACCCCTGTGCACCGCCGGGTGTGACCCAAAAAGCAAAAAAAAAAAAAAAAAAGCCCCGCCCCTTCAGAGCTGCTGCCCAGGCCCCACCTGCTGGCCCCGCCCCTTTCAGCCCTGCCCCTAAGACCTGTACTCCAGGCCCCGCCCCTCCAAACCCCTCCCCTGAGATCTCTCCAGGCCCCGCCCCTTTTGGCCCCGCCCACCAGACCTCTTTAGGCCCCGCCCCTCAGTCCTGCCTTCCAGGCCCCGCCCCTCTCGCCCCCCACCTTCCCTGCCCCCCACCCCACCCCTAGTGCTCGCATCTCCAGACTCCTTTGTGTGGCCGGGGCAGAAGCTGTTTGGTAGAAGAATAATCTGTCCTGTGCTGATTTAGCTGCTTTTTAAAAATATTTATGATTCTAGGAAGCCCCAAATAAGCTCTGAGTCAGAGCGGCCAGCCCAGTGATGCGCCCTTCGTATGCTGGGCTGGGGAAGAGGCTGCAGGCTCTCCCCGGGGGACTGGGCAGGCGTGTCTGCTGGGGACGTACTTACAGGAGCTGGGCTGGCCTCTGGCTTCAGGCTTGCAGTGATCCCGGTGCTTTGGGAAGGGGAGTCCCGCTGCCAGGGCCGGTAGCTTCTTCCGCGGACACGGTTTGCCAGCCGCAGGGGCTCTGTAACCGCAGTCGGAGATGCAGGAAGGGGGAAGTACTGGCCGGCTGCAGGCTCCTAGGGCTGGTGGTGACGCCAGCAGCCCTGAGTAAGCAGACGGTGTGAGCGAGACCCACAGAACTAAAAGCACACAGAAGCCAGTGCAGAGACTTAGCAAACGGTGATGAGCTCACAGAGGCGAGGTGCCCTGTTAACAGGGTCATGCGTTCCAGAGCCGCGCGTGTCTTGGGCTCCACGGCTCTGTGCCAGTGCTGCCAGGGCCCGGGACTCTCCCAAGGGCTGCAGGCACAGCCTTCGTATTCTGTCTCCTGGAGTAGGAGGGAGGTTGTGGCCGTGGCCTCAGCTGCCCCGGACGGGCCTGGCCGGGGTCAGCGGGCACCGTGTGTTGCCTGCACCAAGGGCTGTTGGTCTGAGGAAGTGTTGTCGAGTTGGGGCGACCCAGAGCCGGCGTTAGGGCAGAGGGAGGCTCGGAGGCGGGGAGGGTCTGCAGGCAGGAAGGGCTAAGGAGGGGCCTGGCCATCCAGGGGCCGATCTGGGCATAGGCCTGGGTGTCCCAAACAGACAGAGGTGCTCTGAGGCCCTCCAGGGACCCTGGGGTGGCCTGCAGGGCTCCCCTAGACGTGGGTTCTGGGGAGCATGTTTGAGCTCAGGGCGGGGCCGATGCCAGGGAGAGGTGGGTGGTGGCCTGCAGGGCCCTGGGCTGGGGCCTGTCCCCTAGGGGGTGCTCAGGGCTGCTTGGGAAGGTGCCCCCGTGTGTCTGTGTTGTGATTTATGGCATTATCAGTGCTGATGTCTTTGTCACTCGACTGGTTCTCTTTCCTCCCCCCTCACATGCCCCGGAACACCACAGCGGTGCAGAGCCGGGACCCCGCCTGGTACCAGCTGCTCGTGGCCCCGCTCAGTGAGGACCAGCAGCGGGCGCTGCAGGAGGTGTTTGCGCTGGCAGAGCACCGGAGCCACGTGGCAGGTAACGTGGGACCCCCCCCCTCCGGCCCCTGCCCCAGGGCCCTGACACAGTCCTGGGGGGTTCCAGGCCACTCTCGGCCCTCAGTGAAGGCGCCTTTGTGGTGGGGACCAGGGGCCACGGGAGGGGTGGGGTGAGTTGCTGAGGGCGGGTGTTTGGCTGCCGATGGCCCGGAGTCCTAACTCTTCTTGGGGGGCTCCTGCGCCCCCAGAAATGACGTGCTCCACCGCGATCCACCTTGGGGAATCGTAGTGTTTCCGGTTCCGTTTCCGGCCACCCGTGGGCTCGCCCCTTTGAGTCATTTTCAGTCTTTTATCTGGGGGGTTATTTGACACAGTCGTGACTGTGCCATCCGTGGATGAGAATCCTGGGGAAGAATCCCCCGTTACCGAAGCCCTGGGGTGGCTCTGCGGGCGAACCGGGTGGCTGGAGCCCGGATTGGGGGCGTGCTCAGGGCTCGCGGTGCCGAGCGGCCTGGTGGGCACAGAGCGGGCCCTGCACAGCTCGCTGGGCCTGGCCTGCTCACTGTCCCCGCCCTGCCCGTCCTCCGGGCGTAGTTTTCCGGGTCCGGCTGCTCCCTGGCGCCCCTCACCTGACAGCCCCCTTTCCCTCCACGGTCCAGAGGCGAAGAAGAAGATCGAGGAGCAGGGCGGCTTCACCTTCGAGAGCAAAGGCGTCCTGTCGGCCTTCAACTTCGGGACTGTGGCCGGCAGCGACTGAGCGTGGCCCCGCGGCCCCTGCCCCTCTGCTGGGCGCTGGACTCGGCAGCACTCCCCCCCCCCCCCAACTCCGCCACCCCCGGAAGAGCGAGTGACACGAGAACAGGGTTGCTGCCCGCAGACCCGGCCCTGCCCACGCGTGGGATTGCACGTCTCAGGTTTTTGCTATGCAGAATCAATGGATTGACGCGGATTAACAGTGCCTTCTGTTGTACATGAATTATCGGAACCATTTTTTGGAGTGCATTGCAATTTTTTTTAAAGCATAAAACCTTTATAGATCTAACGACCCCTGGCTCTGTGTGGCTCCCTCCGCGTCTCTGTGCGTGTGGAACGGGCCGCTCGCTCCCAGCGCTTCGGCTCTCCCGCCCCTGCGACTCCTCTCCAGGTGGGCTGCTGGCTCGTTGCATCAGCAACGCACGCTCGGGTCACGTTCCTTCGGGGCCTGGTGCGTTCAGGATCGAATCCGTTTCTTGGCGTCGGCTGGCAGGGACTCACTGGAGTGTAAGTGCTGGCGTTTCTGGGTCGCACACTTCAGCGCGCAGGGAGCAGGACCGGGCGGGGCAGGGCCAGCAGCGGCCTTCAGGGGCCGCGGGGCGGGCTTCGAGGGTGTTTGGAAACAATTTGTTTTTTATTATTTAAACTGAAAGACCCAGATTCTTCTGACCGCATCCAAACCCACCCTCTGTGCTGTTGGTGAGAGATGAGGACGCAGGTCAGCACCTTGGGCTGCTCAGTGCCTTGTGGCCGGCTGTGAGGGTCCCATGCCAGGAGGATGTGTGTGAGGGTCTCGTGCTGTGGCCGGGTGTGAGGATCCTGTCCCTGGTGGGCGAGTGTGAGGGTCCCGTGCTTGTGGCTGGCAGTGAGGGTCTCGTGCCTGGTGGGCGTGTGTGAGGGTCCTGTGCCTGGTGGTTGTGAGGTAAAGCTGCCTGCTGAGACATGCCGTGTTCAGGATGCCGGAAGTGCGTGTCCAGATGCTGACGTGCTCCTGTGGTTCGTCGTCCCGCGAGTGGCCGTGTGGGCTTGTCGACTCGGACTTGGGCCTCTGTCTGTCCTCCCTGTTCTTGGAGCTGAGGGAGCAGCTTGCAGGCCTTGCATCCGGCATGGAGCGTCTGTGGAGCTGTGGGGCCGTGCTGGCTGTGTGGTTTGTTGGTCCGTGGAGTCGGGCTGGATGTGGGGTTTGTTGCAGCCACTCACCTGACTGTGATCTGGTTACCCTGGACTGCAGGACCGTGAGGGAATGTGCTGGAAAGTCAAGTCCGGACTCAGTCCCAGGACTCAGCCCTGGCGAGCGGCGGCTGTGGGTGGGTGCGGGGACCTGGCCGGGGGCAGTGGCCAAAGGGAGGAAGGGGGTGGGGGCCTGCAGCCCCGGACAGAGGCTGGAGTTGACTCTGAGTGACAAACAGTGACAGCAGGGTCTCTAACGCCACAGGACCCCTGAGGAGTTTGAGGTGCCAGAATGGAGCAGTTCCTGGGGCTGTGAGTGGCAGCCTTGGGAGCGGGACCCTCACCTCCGCCCTCTGTTGGACCACTCGGAGCCGTGCAGTTCTAAGCAGTCAACACTCCCAAGAGAAGACCCTTATTCCAAGTTACACCATCTGTGTCTCGATGGACAGACCAGCTCTCTGGGCCTTCTTGTGGTGTGGGGTCCCCCCTGCCAGTGCTCAGGTCCCCTGGCACTGCACCCGGGGGCTCTGCCTGCCGGGGCCCAGGGGACCATGGGTGGTGCCGAGGATCAAACCTGGGTCTCACCCCGTTCCATCTCCAGGCGCCGATGTCTTGGTTTGTTTTCAGCAGAGTGAAAACAAGTGAAAGCGTCACGGGGGTGAGGCGGACCTGGTCATGTGACCCAGTGCCGTGGGGCGTGTTTACTTGATTCACCTGTGAAACCGTGTGTGCAAACCAGGCCCACCTGTGTGTGTGTGTGTGCGTGTGTGTGTGTGTGTGCACTCACAGTCCCACTGTAACTGTGTGTGTGTGTGCGTGTGTGCGCGTGCTCACTCACAGTCCCACCTGGAAGCCCACCCCAGGGCCGTCCCCAGCGTTCATTCTTCCTGTCCGTGTTCCACCCCGGTCAGTGTCATAGCATGGGCATCTGGGCGCTGTCGTGCAGGCAGCGCTGGCTGCAGGCGGGGTCAGTGATGGCCGTGGTGGCTGACTGTGCCTGTCACTGGCCTCCCATGCTGGGCACCTGCCTGAGGCCTGCATCCACCCCAGCAGCGGCACGAGCCGCGGAGCTGTGACCTGATGCTGCGGGATGAAGGCGGCCCCGTGTCGATGCCGACTGGTCAGCAGCTGGCCACTGGCAGCCTGGCCGCGTGAGCTCGAGCTCTGAACAGGGCAGCGAGGCTGGGCAGCTCCTGAGGTCTCAGGGCGGGGCGGCCCCACCTACGTCTCTCACCTCCGGGCCAGAAGGGCCACACCTGTGTGTGCTGACGGGCTCGAGTGGCAGAGGCAACGTCTGTCCGTCGGTCAGCAGCGGCTCCCGGGAGCGTGCGTGTGCGCTCAGGCCCAAGAGCACCCAGGGTGGCGCGGCCGGGTGTGTAAGTGTCGCTGCCGCGTCTTTCATTTCGGAGGCAGGTTGGCAGCTGCTGTGATAGTGAACGCGCGTTCCCGGGAGCCCCCTGCCCTCACCACGTGGGCTGGGCTCTCCCCAATGGCAGCCCTGTCCAGGTGTCGGTGGGTCCCTGTGGTGGCTCTGTTGGCTCTGCCCGTGTCGTGTCGGCAGCCACCGGTGTTCGCTGCAGCCTGAGGCCGGGTCTGCCAGGGGAACAGCCGCTTGCTCACTGGGCGGGTTCCCTTTATCCTCTGGGCCTCGTGGTGCTGCGGTGACTGTGGGGCACACACCCCAGTTGCATAACCCTGGGCGGTTCCAGATGGCAGTGCCACGAGGCCATCTCTGGGGGCCCAGCCCTCGCCACACCTCAGGGGGCAGCAGCCGCCTGGGGGGAGCCATCAGGGCGAGTGGTGTGGTTTCTGCCAGGCCCCCCCCCGCCCCCTGGCAGTGGTGGCCGGGTCGTCGGCTGTCCCGGGCGTGTTCTCTGAGGGGCCCCAGTCTGCCCTCCCAGCATGTGCGCTGAGCTCCAGAGGGCAGTCACAGGCCGAGGCCAGGCTGCCTGGCACATGCCAGCGTCCTCGGTGCCCTGAGCTCGGGTCTGCCTTCTCGTCCTTCCATGTCACCAGAACCCCCCTGCAGAGCCGCCCTGTCCTGGAGCCTTCGAAGGTGTCTCCGGCTGGGCTGGCAGCGCTGACCGCTTCCTGGCCGAGGTGCTGATTTTATTCTGCTCCGCTGAGAACCACAGATCAGAGCCGTGGATTTTGCCATTGATCCGATTCAACAGAACCACGGTGACCTGTTGGGGTGGCGTGAAATGACTCTGGCTTTTGCACTGAGCCAAGGGTCGGTCTCAGCATCGGGAAAGTGTGTCATAAGTGCTGTTCAGAGTATTTCTGTTTGATGGATCTCTTTCCCACTGCGTGCTTCTATAGGGGTGGAAATGTGTAATTTACACCTGTGGGTTATAACAAGGGTAAATTTTTTGACTTATGACACTTTCAAAACCAAGTTTAAGCCCGGAGTTTAAAAGCATTTTACCATGTATGTGTGTGTAACGCACGCCCTCACAAACACACTTTTCCCATAACAGCCAAGGAGGTGTGACTTTTCATGGTTTAGAATTTCAAAAACTGGGCCAGAGTGATAGCACAGCAGGGAGGGCATTTGCCTTGCATGTGGCCGACCCAAGTTCAATCCCCAGCATCCCATATGGACCCCTGAGCACCGCCAGGAGTGATTCCTGAGTGCAGAGCCAGGAGGAACCCCTGTGCATCGCCGGGTGTGACCCCAACAAATAGAATTTCAAAAACTGTTTTTGCCCACACAAATTTCTCAGCACTATAGAACATGTCAGGATTCTTAACCGTGGGCGTGAACCAGGGCCCACCTGGCCCCACAGATCCCTGACACCAGTTTTGCAAGTTGTCATACTTGACCAGCTTCATTCATGTTCTCCTTTAACTTTTTCTTAGGTTCCTCTTCATCTCACTGAAGTTTAATTTTTTTTTTTTTTTAAATCGCTTACTGGGGCTGGAGCGATAGCACAGTGGTAGGGCGTTTGCCTTGTGCACAGCCAGCTGGGCTGAGCCGGGTTCGATTCCTCCACCCCTCTTGGAGAGCCCAGCAAGCTACCGAGAGTATCTCGCCCGCACGGCAGAGCCTGGCAAGCTCCCCGTGACATACTCGACATGCCAAACACAGTAACAACAAGTCTCACAATGGAGACGTTCCTGGGCCCGCTCGAGCAAATTGATGAACAACGGGAAGACAGTGACACAGTGATACAGTGATACAGTGATCGCTTACTGACGTTTTGTCTTGGGGTGCCAGGCGTGGCTCTCCTCAGGCGTCTGCTGCTTCTCAGGGGACCCGCCGTGCTGGGTTGACCCTGGCCTCGTGTGGGCACAGCCCTGTCGTCCGTCCCTTTGAGCTCTCACTGACTCCATCTTAGGGGCCTTGAAAAACTTGCTGGGGGAGGTGGCTTGCCTAGTGTGTGGTGGGCTCACTGCACACCTACTGAGGCATGAGTGATTTAGCTAGGTATCTCTTATTTTGGGGGAGGGTGCTTCTCCGGCAGTGCTCAGTGTTAACTCTGGGTTCTGTGCTTGGAGTCACCCCTGGGGGTGGTCGGAGGGGACAGTCTGTGATACTGGGGATCGAGCCCGGGCTGGGCTCCTGTGAGGCAGGTGCCCTACCTGCCGGGCTGTCTCTCGGCTCCCTATGTCTCTCTTCATAATACACCAGAGCTCTCAGAATCTCTCCAGTTACACGCGCGGTGGTGTAGAACGAGGTGTTCTATTTTCCTAGTCACTTTAAACTTCTGATCAACATTCCCATGTCCGCAGCCAGGTGGGGCTTTCGTATGCTGGGTTGGTGTCGTGCAGACTGCAGTCTCGACGCTCGGTACAGCCAGGGCTGAATGTGCGTGACTCAGCAGCACACCACGTTGGCTCGTCACATTGATAAGAAAAATCTGATTTTTAGGATGCAAATGACATATATGATTTATTATATCAATTTCATTCACTATTGTATGATTTTGGCCTTTATCAAAAATTAAATGTCTGGGGCTGGAGCAGTAGCACAGTGGGTAGGGCATTTGCCTTGCACGCGGCTGACCCGGGTTCGATACCCAGCATCCCGTATGGTCCACTGAGCACCACCAGCGGTAACTCCTGAGTGTAGAGCCAGGAGGAATCCCTGTGCATTTCT